AGACTTACTAACCAGAAGTAAACAACCTAAGATATAGAGCTATATTTTTATCTGAAAGAAAACAGCAAAAATGCAAACAGTATTGAAATGAAAGATAATCCCAAGGAATTACCTGCACCAAAAACCTCTGACAAAATTAGTCATTTGATCATAAGTCACAGTTTTAAGTTGTATCACAATCAGTGAAATCTTCCATGGAATTTTTGCAGAAGTGGAAAACACCAAATCCAGGTTTCATATCTGTAGTTGTTGCAGCTTAGAAAAACACCACTTAAGACTGCTTCTCATTTTTTTCAACACTTTTGATTGCATTCTTTTTTAAATGAATTTTTTTCAGGACTGCATGTCAAAGAATGAAGATGAATGTGGATATTATAGATTATGCTTCAGCACATCATCTTCCCTCAACAATATGTTAACTCCCATGAGTGATCGAGAGAGAATTTTCTCCTTACAATATCAATACAATATCAAGCATAGAAGTAATGAGAATAAAGTAAAATATCAAATAGGTGATTATTAGCTGATCCAATACCAAATTCTCAAAATTGATTACACTCCCAGAAGTGATCAATGAGTAATTTCTCCTTACAATACAATATAGTAACAAGCATGGAGGTGATGAAAAGAAAATTTATCAATTAGAGTATACTGCCCAGGACTTGTCTGATTAAATACCAAATTCTTCATGTTAAAATTATTAGTAATGTATGGGAGACAATGAGGAGAATTGATAATTACATCAGAGATAAAAGAATTCCCTGAAATCAATCTGAATGACTTCTTACTAACAGTATGAAAGTGACACTGGGGTGAAAACAGATAAAATTTTTACAACTAAGCTAAATTTAAATCACAAAAAGTGTGATGTATGAGACAATCTGATAGACAACAAATAATATTATCAATTGAAATGATAAAGTATCAGTATACAAGTATATTGTATGATCAAAATTTGTTTATGCACTAACTGGCATGCCATTTAAAACCTATAATTTCAAACCCTTCGAACTATGTTAATTCAAATCATCATCATAGATTTTGGTGTGTTCATGATCATACAACAAAAAGAAATCCTGCCAACTTAAAAGCAAAATGAACAGGTGTCTTACTATTTTTCTTAATTTATTAAGAAGGTAACAGATACTTCAAAACTGTTTATATATTTATAAAAAATCCAAGCTTTGTGTAACCTGGCACAAAAACAGTACACAATGAAAACAAAGGAAATAACTCTTCACTAGCATAATAAAAACAACTTTAGTTAAATCCAAATATAATATCTGTGTAAACTGTCTATAAGATATGGAGATCAACTGGTATAATTAACCTCATTATTCCTCATTAAACCTCAAAGTGTTTCCTAGTGATTTCCATCCTAAATGGGTTTTCATAAACAGAAATATTAATCCGCCAAACCCAGCTTCAATGGTTTTGCTGGTACCAAATTCCCTATAGTGAGTGATTTTAAGCTGTTGGTGGTAAATAGTTTGCAAAAAAGTAAGTCTTGAGCCTGGCCTGTTCACATCGGGAGAAACCTCCCCCCACCTTAACTTCCTCCTGTGATCAGTATGCAACTTCATGTTATTATCTTAATACACAGCTAATTAGACAGATGATGAGAATTTTCATTAAAACAGTTTGGAGAGTTGATTCCTGCATGGCTAGTGGTAAACAGAGCAGAATATGACTGCTTTAGTAAGCAAAGAGCCATGCTGGATGTCAAATTCATCACTTGTGATGTTTGTCAGCTCCTACTAGTGATATGTATGTAAGGTAACCCGCCCAAAATACTTGATACTTTCTATAACCAATGTTCATGACAAATTTTTAACTCTTTGACCCTTACAGTGACTAGTATCTAATTTCTCCTCACAAAATCACCTCTGAATCACACAATAAGGTCATGAGAATAAAAGTAATGATTTCCACTTAAAGAAACTCTTGATTGCTTAACAAAATCTCCTTGTCAGTACTTTAGGAAATGAATAGAGAACAGTATGGAGAATATACATCTTCAAGTTAGGGTGTGAAGGGTTAAGACCTCATTATTCAATGACCAAATTCACAATTTACAATTATACTTTGACTTTCTTTGCACATAACTATTTTCCATTTCCATTCATTTCATGAAGTATGTGTGTCTGCATTACATACATGAAGCTCAACATACATGTTCTGGTCAAACTATTCTTTCTTCACTGTCACCAAGAATTCTTTGTTCCTTTAAGATTGTGTTCAAAGGTTTATCCAGTGAGTGTCCCCAGCAGAAGTGTTTTGGCTTCTTTAGAAGATATTTCCAACAATTCATTGAGATTTGATCTTCTTCTTTCTTGGTCATGTCCTCTTCCATATTTTCTATAGCTTTCTTGTCTTATCTTTCCATATCATCCACTCTTTTCTTGTTTACAACACTATTGTTAGATTTCTTGTTTCAAAATGACCATAGATGACCATTGTTGACCCTTTAACTCCAAGGATCTCATGAGTAATTCTCCTTACTGTCTGACATACAATTCTTGTGATGTCAATTAGGAGAATTTGGTATTGAATCAACCAACAATCACCTATTTGATATTTTACCTTATCCTCATTACTTCTATACTTGATATTGTATTGACATTGTAAGGGATAATTCTCTCTTGGTCACTCATGGGAGGTAAAGGGTTAACTATTCTATCTCAGGCTGGTTAGTGTTCAAATGACTGACATAATTAACATTTATACTTAAAAAAAGAACATTTTGATATAAAATACACCCTTACCAAATTTTATTGAAAACTCTCAGTCTATAACTCGATTCCAAAGAAAATCATTTTTAAACAGTTAGAACTCAATTAATTGATAATAAAAATATAAATTAAGTGAACTGAGAGATTGACTTGACCCCTGTTATTAAAAAGATTGGATGATGCTATCCACTGGATCAATATTATCCAGTTGGTAAGTACATTTACACTAATTATCTCATTCTGTAGACTCCTGCATAATAGAAGGAGAGTTGGCAAGTGAAAGGAGAATGGTCCATAAAAACTTTACTTTTCACTGAAGCAAATATGCAGCTCACCAAAGGTTACTGATTAGCTTTTGTTATCAACAATCTGAGAATACCTTCTTCACTGTCAGTGAGTGTCACGCATTTCTTGGAATTTTTGTTCAGGAAATTCATATAAAGATTTTTCTCAGGTTTTTCTCTGAGTTCTGCTAATACACATTTATTTCATACTTATGGGTAGAGACAGACACGTTCTACTTCAAATAAGTAGTTCGGCCAATTTACCACAGATCGACATTTGAACGCCTGAAAGAGATAAGTCCAGCCTAAGAATTCATCTTACCGGCAGACCAACTTGATATCATCTCACTGCAATCTCGTTTCCAACACGTGTTCACCAGTTTTAACGCTGGTTGTTGACCTAGTGGCTATGTTTTTAAAATTTACAGTCCGCACAAAGAAATTTAGCTCAACTGAAGCACATCAGTCATTTTAAGCTGATATTCACCTTCACGATATATTTCTATATAGTTCTTTCCTCATTTCATTAACGACGATGATGTATGATGTCGTTATTGTCGACGATTTGCAGCTTCAATTACTATCAGCGGCTTCCCCTCCAGGGAAGCACTGTCATGTAATCATGTAATCATGTAATCTAGTAAGATGGCGCGCTTGTTTCTTCGTCTAAGCTTCACATTTCGGATGTTTTCATTCGGTTTCTTGGCATGGAGACCTGTTATTATAGGAAGGGCATATCATGGATATTAAAATAATTGGTTAAGGCTGCTAGTGAAAGAATATAGATCAAAACGTCAAAATCCAGACCTAGAGAAAGACAATGTAGAATCGGAAGTTGTAGGCCTTGCTGTCCAAACAGGTAAGCCTTCCGACTTTTTTTCTCGCTACTAACTTTATGGTACTGTCAATGGTTATATAAAGCATGATGACAACGGTCAATGAAGCACCAAGTCGCGTTTATCCATAAAATTCTTCCAGGTTCCTTGTGATCTAAATGAACCTCTTGTACCTATATTAAGCATACATGACATATGTATCTCACATTTAGAACTTGCGTTATCGAAGTTGGAAACCTATTTCTCTTGATTCTATCCGATGTACAGTTCTGCCGATCGTTGCATATTTTATAAAGGAGAAGTTTAAATTTATTTGTTTCTGTGTTCCACAAAGCTATCTACAGTAGAAAGTTGTCAATTAGCAGTGACGCCTTTTTCTCAGTTTTGTCACTATTTTCAAACACATACTGATACTTCTTAGATTATGTGCTTGAAGCTTCTTATATTTTGTCTGATGTTCACAAACTGTCTTGTACTATGGTGAATGAATGTTGATGGGTTTTCCCCACGTGTTAACTTAAAATTTTCTGTAGTGCCAAAATATGAACATGTACTTACCCCACCTCAGAAGGGATACACCCTGGAACCCCACTTTCCTTGATAAATCTACAGAAGATGCCAGACAAACATTCACATAATGGAGAAAAACATTTCTCCCTTTTATTAAAATTACAAAAAGAAACTACTGAGTTGTCAATGATGGTAATTTTTGCAACTTCCAAGTATATTGCAGGAAAATGATCTGATGTACTGCAAGACATTAACCTTTAACTCCCAAGATCTTTTTCTTTTTTCTCATCACTTGTGTGCTTGATATTGTATTGATATTGTAAGGAGAAATTCTGTCTTGGTCACTCATGCATGGGAGTTAAGGGGAACTACTTTATAAAAGACCTTTTTTTCAATGAAATCCCACTGCAGAGTTTTTTCAAATCATTATTCAAATAAAATGGTTGATTAATAGACTGATTCTAGTAGGATAACCATTTTTTTTTCCAATACTGCTGAGAGAAAGAAATTTTTTTAACTTGGGTCTGTACAAATTATTTCTTATGTAGATGCTATGAAAAAAAAGGCTGGGATGCAACTTGTTAACAATCTTTTACTCTCACTGCCTTATGATCATCAGTAGTCATTTTACATTGTATGATTTGTTAATTGTGTTCAGAGAACTTAGTCAATAGGGCCATAATTGCTCATGAGTTATTTTGTATTGTCAAGTGTTACCCATGTTTATTAAAGTTCTTCTTCACATCAGTTGAGTTGGTTGAAATTCTCTGTAAATTTATGTTTCTCTTGGAAAAGGAAACAAAATATATCTAACTCCCACAGCTACAATTGGTGTTTTCTCCTATTATGTATTATTTTCCATTTTCAAAAAGAAACTGACCTGTTGCTTTCTCTTTTTGCTTTGCAGTTTCTTCAATTGTTCTGCTATCCAACCAGTTAATATGTGAACATTCATGGTCTGTTGCATGAGGCCAATGAAAAGTAGTGTGTACCACTGGAAATATATTAGCTTTTGGTGGAGTGTGTGCAAAATAAATGAATAATTATGGAAATTGAAAATTGTCTGCTTCTTAACAACTTGTTTACTCATAAAGTCATATGAAGCACTTAAAACTCTACATCCCACACAGTAAAGTTTTTTGTAGAGCTGTTGGCTGGTATGTAATATAGTAGCCAAATATCTGAAAAACACATCCAATAATTACTATTTCATAGCACACATAATACATGAAAGAACAGGCTAAAATCTTTATTTTGAAGCCTTCATGTATCCCACAGTGCCAGGCACTGCTTCAGTAGGCAGGATTTTCTCAATGGTTAAGATCTAAAATTCTAAAAGGCTTAAACTTGAATCTAATGGAAGCTTTTGGCTGTCTACCTAAAAATCATTTCACACTAAGGCAAAATCTAAGTACAACATTTTCTCTGGTCCTTGTCTTGCCAAGAGAATATAACAGTGCAATTATAATCTGAACATCAAATGTGCTAAAATAGTATTTCAGGATTAACAGGATATGGGAGAAGTCTTAAGTTGTATGGGCTAGAAATTATCCTACCGATATCATAATTGCATGTTGTGAAGGTTGCCAAGATAATTACAATGAATTAAAAGCGATTAAACTATTTTTCAACACTTTGTGCTACAAATCCAAGGTGCAAAATATGTCAAGATGTTTAACACCAGCACTGAACCAAAAAATGCACTTGGAATATGTTGCAGATGAAGTGCCAGAAACGAGTAGACTAGGTACATTAACTTCATTTCTCTATGAGATCTGTGCAACTTCCACTATTCAATAACTTAATATTTTCATCAGATTACTTGTCTCTAAGTATTATTTAAATCTCAAAAAAATTGTATGTGGAATACTTGACCAATAAAGTTCCAAAAAGCTTCTTAATACAGGTAAAAGCGTGACAAATTGAGAAGTTAATTGTGACATTTTCATTGAGATCTCAAGACAAAAAATTTGTTTTGATCCCATAATATGTAATTATGAATGTTACAGTCTTGAATGTTCCTACAGATTGGCATTCTCTATCTACCCAAGTTGAAAATGCCAAAGTGAAAACTACTTACAAGAGAGAAAAAGTAATTGGTATGAAAAAGAGGCATTCCAAGGTTTTAAAATGATTGTATCACAAACCAGGAACTGATCAGATGACCCAAATTGCAGTCATATTTTTCACAAAGGCTTGAGAGTCAAATCAAAACTTCCCTACACATTCTGCACCCACAAAGAAACATGGAACATGTCCACTGATTGGCAAGTTCTCTAAGCTCTTCATGCAACCAATGAAAAGGGCAAAAGTACTACCCTGGCTTATTCCCAAACTTCTCTCCCTTTCCAAGAGCAAGGCTCTGGTAACAAGGTTATAGAACCTAACTTTCAAAGCAGAGATAACTTTCATTGGATTTAAGCTTTGAGAAAAAGATGCAGTTGTATTTCTGTTGTTATTTCGAAAATTACACACATTTTTAGGAAAAACGACAGCCCTGGAATAGCATTTTTAATGACTGCAAAACTTCATCACTGCAGGACATTCAAAAACACATTCTAGTGTTTCCTACTGTAAAATAGAATTTCCTTTAAAAATAAATAATTGTTAATTAATTAACTAATACTAATATACAAATGGAACTTAGATATTGTCCCAGACTTTAAGTTTCTGTTCCCATTTGATGCATTTTTCTTGTATTTCTCTCATCCACCGCTAAAATCTCAAAAATCATTTCCAGAATATTGTATGTATAGTAACAATAATAATATAATCAAATTAAATTGTAATGAGTACCGTGACAAATGTAAGCATGTGTGGGCTAAAATTGAATGATTACTATGCCAGCTGTGTTCACTGACAAGCCTGGATCAAAAAACAAAGTCTTTTTCCGCCATGTCGAGGGCCCAAGCAAACTTCTCACGTTGGGTCTTGTTGTAAACTTTCTCTACTGGCACCTCATGTTTCTTGCACCTTAAAATGCAAAAAAAGCAAGAAAATATTAACAACAAGGTGTACAAAAACTCAGTAGTCACACTTCTGTCTGCCATTGTGTATTTCACACCAGGAAATACAGCAAACTTCAGTGCAAATCAACTGTTTAGGCAAGGCCACCTCTACAAGCCCCTTATTATCTTTGGTAGTGGATATAGAGCTTTCACCTACCATGCCACTGAAATTCGTGGGTCCAAATAATTTAGTTTTGAGGTACCAAGTGCAATCTCTTTATTTTCTTCTTTGTCTGTTGCAGTCACCTCTAATTTAAACAGCTGATCCTCAAATCTTTGAACCTGAGTTTTTTTCTTCTCTAGTTGCCTACAAACAAAAGAAAAAAATTCATCAAAGATAATCATAAGTAGTCTATAGTCTCTCCAAGAAGGATCATTAGCTTAGGTCATTCCTACTTGTAAAATTTTTACAAGCAAGACATTTAAATGACTTGATCCAAACTTCCTTTGCATGGAAGAAAAATATAATTTTTGACCAACTCTAGATTAAAGAGTTGAGGAATAATTTTGGAAGATTACTCCAAAGGAGCTCTTGTGATGTAAACTTCCTCAGTAAAGATGAAATATTGTATAACCATTAGTAGAAAAATTAATTTCCCTAGTTAACATACTTCATCACTTTTGCATCTTTGCTTTCTTTAGCTTGATTTTTCAAAACCTTGAGTTCTTTTTTTGCATCCTTGATTGCTTTTTTCTTTGTAGCAATCTAAAACAGAACAGCAAAATCAACAAAATCAGTAAATGGAATATGTAAATGCATGAATACCTACTTGTAGATAAATAACTCTTGGGAAGAAAGTCACAAGTTCACACCTTCTCTTGTAGATTGGACATTGATTTTTCAAAGGTCTTGGGGACTGTGCGCTAAAACAGATAAAAAAAAATAGTGAGCTACATGTATGAACTTAAGCCTTTTCATATGATTACATCTACACCTGTAATACTGGTTTAGTCTAACTGAGTGCACATGCAATAAAATACAATAAAACACTTCATAATGCCCGGCCACATGGAATATGCTTGCTTTATTTAATAAAAATGCATCTGTGTTATCAATGGTGATGTCATCTGTGTCTATCCTTCAACAGATCACAAGTAAGAACCAATCAAAATGTGTGTATAGTTCGGCTTATAACATAACACCAAGCAAATGCACAGCAAAATGTTATCAGAGTGGACATTACCTGATGGTTACATAGGATGGCCACAGCACGGTTTGCTCTGTTGTATGTCAACACTTTTGCATTGACATTGTCCTCAGCTTCTGTTAACTTGTTCAGTTGATCTTGGAGTGTCATGGAGGCATTAAATGTTCTGAATACCTTTGCTGTAAGTCCATCCATCAGCTCTGACAAGTACTTGTTCAAAGAAGTTGTCTAGAAAATGAAAAATTTCAACATTTATTTTGTTTCTGGACGCTTTACAGCAAATTGTTTTTAGGTAATTACTATTACTAACTCGTTACTAACCAAGTGCAAGGGTTGCACTGGGGAATATTGGCCCAAGTAACGTGGCAGTACAGACTGAGCACTGCGAGATTAGTGAGTAGTTTATTATATGGCACTCAGGCCAAATTTGTTTGTCTAGAATTTGCCAGCTTTTGCAAAAGAAAATTCACAGCATATAATCATCATGACAGTCTTTGTCAAAGCAGTCCATGGGGCAAAATCCTGACTAGCAAGTAACAACCAATCAAATTGATTTAATCTACCTCAGGACCAGCTTGCCATATAATCAATAAAATTGCTCTCATTTGCAAAACCTGGTGCAGAAATATTACCACGTCACTTTAAAAAAGAAGGGAAAATACACTCACAGATAATCTGTCAAATAGATCATCACCATTCTGTTTTCCTTTCATAAAAATGGCAAGATTCTTGAAAACCTGTAATGGGAAAAGGAATAGAAATAAAAGTTGTTACAAAATGGACAAAGAGGCAGTTTGCAGAGTGAATCTTGAAAAAAAATATTGTAAATATTTTCAACTTTGTTATTTGCCATTACACCTTTTCCATCCTTAGCCCTTTGACCTGCTCCAGAAATGATAATTAACATGTACTGGCAACTTATCACTATGATCTATGATATCCATAAATCAAGCAGCAAACAGGTAAGGAGATACTCAGATTTATCTGGTTAAAATGGTTATCATGATATGACTCCTTACTAATTTACAAGGAAATTGTGCAGCGGCTAGAGGGAAGAATTAACAATCAGATCTTGGAGTTAAATGGTTAAGTAAACAAAATTGGTCCTTTTTGGTCTGTTCTTGCCTCCTTAGTTCTTTACCTTTAAGTTTCCTCTGTGTTTTACTTTAGAAATATTACAGAGGTGAAAAAGAGACCATGAAAACCATGCATATTACTGAACACAGCAGTACAGTGGACTCTTCCTCTCAAAGATCACAAACATGGGCCCCCAACTGATAAGTGCCTATGTTCATTGTACCTGTTACCTTCACTAAAGGGACTACTCTGTCAAGGGGGACACTCTGTCTGGTTCCAAGGGTGTCCCCTTAACTAAGAGTCCAGTCGCTAGGTGACAGTTGATCAATAGCTACCTTCTTTTCCACTGGCACAAAGTTCCAGTATCGAACAGAGTCTTTACCAAGGAAATCAAACTCTACGACATTCTCCTTGTCTTCCCACTCATCATGCAATTCTAGAAGGATAAAAAGCATATTATGAGGCTACTTAATGAAACAATAAAGTGGAAAATTTTAATCCTGGGTTCAAATATGAAAATATGGTGCCTTTAAGCAAAGACAATACTATCAAATGTCAGATGGCAATTTTGTGTAGGCAGATTATAACAGCAAAAGGGTGAAAACAGCCCACTGAAGACAAAACAACTACATTAATCATTTTGTCTGGGTCATGTAAACAATAAATCTGTAAACAGTAAAACACAATACAAAAACTTTTGATGTTTTAAAACCATGCAACTTTATATTCATGCCACAACCACACAATTTCCAAATGATGGAAGACACATTTGAAGGTTTTGTACTGGAAAACAGCATCTGAACAGCCAACCAACAAAAATCAAATGTGACAATCTTAAGTAGAAATCATTTTGAAAAGGGAAAATATATTATGCTGGAAAGTGGTAAAAAAAAAAAAAAACAAAGAAACAAACAAACACTCAAAAACAACATTTGGACAAGCTTTTCTTGTGTTCTCCCAATATCTTATGTGGGTTATAATGCCACAAAACCAATGAGAAAAGTGATCTGTTGATATATTTAGAGTACCTTTACATCATATACATCAATTATTGTTTTCTAGAGAGCAACTGCTGCATACTTCAACATATACATGATGGACAGATCTTTGAAAACTCTCATTGTTCAAGAAGAGAATAAAAAAACAATAGAGCCTTGATCAGTATGAAATACTTACTAATATGTTCAAATCTCAGTGAGCAACAGCCAACAGTATCAGCAGTTTCTTCATCTTTTTCATGACCAGCACGAAGAGCCAACTGAAAAAAGTTACACAGATTACAATCAGTTCTTGAGGACCATTTGCTCTGTAAAAATCTAGAATAGCCTTAGCCACCTCATGAGTACATCAAAAAGGTACCCAAAGTAGATAAGTGGGCAATTAACCTGCAAAGCCTAATAAAATATGGCACGGAATGCTAAGTTTGTCACATGTTTTGACCATACTTGCTTGACAAAGGAGAGGACAATAAAAAGAGTTGACAGGTACAAATAAGATAGCTTCTGCCAACTTTGAGTGGAACAAATGGGGAGAAAGATTATCGAGTAAACCATTATTTGAAAAAGAAGTTTCAAAGCTTTACCTTGTCAATAAAGTAAAGAGCAACACCTCTGTGGAAAAAAAAAGGACAGATTATTGATGGACAAGCTACAATACACACTTAGAGGAAAATTATGTCAATTAACATGCTCTAGTATGGGACCAGGTTAGGTTTATTGAAAACCATTCATATAAACAAAGCAACATGGCCCGTTCCTTTCTGAGCTGATCAGCAGTACCAAGGCCAGGACGGTGGTAAACTCTTCATAAACAAACCTTTGTCGTAGTCTCATTTCTTTGGCCTTCCAATCCCGTTGATAGTCTTCTCTGATTTTTTCGACACAGTCCTGCATAAACAAATAAATACACATCAACACATTACACCCTAACATCAGTATGCATATTCTCCACACTGTTCTCTATACCTTTGCAAGGAGCTTATCAGGGGAGAATTTGTTTAACAATCAAGAGCTTCTTTAGATGGTGATTATTTGCTTTATTACTTCCATTTTGAAATCACTTGTGATCCTTAAAAACCTGACTGGCTCTTACTGGTTTGATTTCTTCACAGATTGCACTATTCTACACTTCAAACTGCATCTTTCTCCCAGCCAATGAGACAGCTTTATTAAACACAACAACCAATCAAATTTCAATGCCAGCTTAAAGAAATCAATCAAATTGCAATAAAATGAAAGACAACTTTTGCAACTTTTCATAATGCAGCTCAATGTATATACAGGATAAATTAATATTTGTTCCAACTAAAAATAACTTGTACTGAGCAACTGAATTTTGTGATTTTAAATGGATGTAATAAAGTAGTAATTGAATTTTGTGTCCTGTTTTTTAGTCTGAATCCTACTTGCGATTTCAAATTTTACTCCACTAAGTTCACTTACTGTTATTCATTCTTGTGACCTTAACGTGTGATTCAGGGGTCAAATGGTTGAACCTGTGTTAGTTTCATACAGTCAAGATTTACAAATATTACATCACGCTAATTACCTTTAATTTTCTTGCTGTTTCGTACTTTTGCCAGTCCTTCTCACCCTGCAATAGAATTAAAGGAAGCAAGTTAGCTATGCAGTACATAGCAATGAATTAATTTGCTTCAGCTATTGTACAATCCTAGCCAAATTTCTCGGACACCTGCTGTTTTCCCTGCCCACCTCATTGTTTCTTAGATAGAAATTTATCAAAATAGAGTTCAACTTTAAGCTTACAGTTAGTGTTGTTATACAACTGAACAGACCACCTATTGAAATAAAACATTTATTCTTACTGTACCTTTAACCTTGATGTGGAATTCAGCATGACATACTTGTAACTTCCTTGGATGTTTTCAACCCAGCAAGCCAACCATGAAACCTGCAGGAAAAAAGGTAGAAATCACTTCTAAGCATGACATTTTTAAGCATGCAGTTTACTGGTTAACAGGCTAATTTAGTATTATCAACTAAGTTGATAATGTAAATTGGCCACCGTAAGGAGTTCCAAAGCTGACATATTGAGCATTAGCCCTTTGTCAGAGCTTTGCCACCAACGCAGCACCAGAGTTTCTTTTATTAGAAAATCACCCCTTTTGTTCATTAGTATATTTGTCACCTTGGTGGTTGTCTTATCCTTCCATTCTACTTCCTGGTACCAAGGTATCCTTGATAAAGATTACTAACATCATCATGAAACAATTTGGCAAATGAAAAAAGGAATAGTCCATACCTTGTTGTCATGAATAACTTTTTGCCATTTGTGCCCTTGTGGTGGTTCAGGAACTTTGGCCCCTCTGTTAAAAAAAAGGAAAACTCACACTTTCCTCTACAACAAATGTTCCTATTAAATTCTGTTAAGTTAATTCTTACAATTAATTGAGTATTTAATGTAGGTAAAAGAAAATCAGAAATAAAAAAAAATATGTGCCTGCAAGAAGCAGGAACAGAAACCAGCCAAGGGTTTGCATGATTATGAGCACAAAAATGAAACCTTTTTCCAGACTTTTACCAAATCACTAGTTTAACTTTCTCAACTCCTGGAATTTTCATCAAATGGCCTAACCACAGTAGATTTTTTTAAGGTTGGCCAAACAACTGAAAGTTCCCCAATTTGCCAAGAAAAGATTTTGGCAAAAGTGATTCAAGTGAATTAAAATTAACTTTCAAGACTACAGCCAGCTTATCAATGCTTCAACCAACAGTGAAAGTAAAACCTCTTGACTTCTACCCATTTTTGAGATCTTTATTTTCCAAACTTCTAGGACTAAAGAATCTGCTTCCAAATTTTCATACTTTTTACAAATATTCAGAAATCTTTGAAAGCCCTGAGAGCCCCAATATCTGACAATCTTTCCAAATAAATTATCTTATCTTCTCTTTCATATATTTTTAATTGAGAACATGCTTTTGCAGACAACAACATTACCAATTGACACATACTTGCCAATGTTTATGATCACATCCTCAGGCATAGTTCTCTTCTTAAATTTCCCTTGCTTTGGATGGTCACCACGCCCTCGGAACAAACCAGGAGGTTCAATCTTGAAGTTGCCAACCCTCTGCCTGTGTCCATCCATGAGACAATAACCATATTCATCCAGAATGGCCTCATTTTGTTCTTTTAGTACCTGCTTCTGTTCCTTTGTCCAGTTTTTCCTCTCCTCATTTTTCTACAAGGAAATGTGCATACATGTACTTAATTGATGTGGTGTGACCATTCCTTTGGCATTCCCAGAGTCTAAAAAGTTCTCAGTTTATAACCTACATGTAATCTTGAAAATGAATAGATAGACATAAGGTTGTCACTGGAAGCTGGTAGATGGCAGAAATCTGCTGGCTGTACAACCATTCTGCACCGGCTAATTGGTGAAAATGTGATCAAGGCCGAAAAAAAAAAAGTATTTCTAAACTGATTTTAACATCAATTTATGGCTAACAAAAGTAATTCATTTACGTCCCAGAATACCAGAGAGAAAATCGACTTTTTCTGTGACATGAGGGGACGCAAATCATCTGTACTGTAAGTATCCCGGAGAGTCCCCTACATTTTCTTAGACTTTTAGTCTAAGAAAATGTATGGGACTTTTTGAACGCTCCAGGCAGCTTTCCTGTAAGGTGTCATAATCCTGTTGCTGCTGACATCAATGTGACAGATAATTGCTTTTGCACTGTTTTCTTTGCCGGCTTATACTTGTCATCAAGTTTCAATAAGATGGCTATCATTTTTCACAAGAATTAAAATCACGGAGCTTGATATGTACTTACAGTGCAGATGATTTGCGTCCCCTCATGAGAGCCCCACATTCCACCAAAAAAGGCATGCTCTTTTGTAACATGCAATGCTTGCTATGCAAGCATAACTCAATTCAGCTGCTTAATCAGTTCAGATTATACAGCTATAATGATTACATTTTCCTACAACAACCCTGTATACATGCAAATTAATTTTCCAACTCTTCAATTGTTGTAACACCTGAATATAAATCCTCATTACAGGGTGTAATAAAATGGACCTCGCAATCTTTTTTTTAAATTTATAAATCAAACAAATTCTCGCATCAACTATCAGCACTAAATATAACTCAAATACTCTTACTCCTAATTTGAGTCAAAGGTATCTAACAAATACAAAAAAGAAGAAGTCCAATACATATTCACTGCATTTACCTGAACAAAGTATGCATGCATTTCTTTGAAGTCACACTTTTTGAGATCTTTGATAATCTTTCTCTCATCATTTGTCATTTCTTTCCTCCAGTCTTCAAAAAAATTCTTGTTGAAGATCTCTTTGCTGGTGTAATCATGGTCAAGCATCTTGGCATAATATGATGCCACCTGAAAAGAAAATCAGATCAATAAAAAGGTACAGAGTTAATTCACATTTTATGTGCTGTACCACTCCTTACATCTTTCAAAATAGAGAATTCTACGAAAAACAAATCAAAATACTGCCCTAAAACAAAATTTTGTCCATTTACATGTTCACTTACTTAATACTAAAACCATACACTATAGCTGTCTTTCCATGGGATGACAGCTGAGGTACTCACTGTCTAGCATAACCTTTTACAGCCAGTGACAAACTATGCTGTTAATCATTGGAGAAATCCCCTGTGTTGTTTCATATTTTTGGTAAAAAGTCCACCAAAATTTTAAATTATTTTCTCATACCTCTTCTGCTGCCAAACTAAGTTCCATGTGATTTCCTGACAATAAAATTCAATAAATAATGACTTACAAAGTATTCTTCCTGTATTTAAAAGAAATGTAACATTTCAAATGACTTATAACATGCATTCTGCATAGTTAAGCTAAGCTACACTGACTGACAGTTTGCAGAAGAGCAGAGCTCACCATCATAATAAAACTTGATATCAGAAGGCAGCTGCTCATACAGAGGTGGGAAATAAGGACCCTAGAAGACCATAATCATTTATTTAGTAAGATAGAGGGAGGTTTACATATAAAGAAATGAGGGAAATATATCCTAGGCAACTTCAGTAAATAAAATAGTTCTTATTTGTACTGGTGTATCCCTATAAATATAAATGTTCACATTGTAATCCAACCAATGTGACATCATAGCATTGTAAGTAAGATTATCGTGTTTTAATTTAGATTTGCATCAGTAGTATTTCTAGTATTGAACATGATGTGTCTCAGAAACAGAAGAAAAACAGGATAACAATGTTCACATAAACAAAACTTGTAATGGAAAAAAAAATATGAGGTGTGCATTGTGTTTCTGTTTTAATAAAACACACCCTAACAAAGATGAATCTACCTTATGTTCCAAATGAAGCCACTTGACACCATCAGGAAGTTGCTCTTCTTCCCACCTTTAGAACAAACAGAAAACTAATTTTAACTTGAAGAGCCATGAAAGATATTTTATTCTGTAAGGATAAACAATTAAAAGATTTATCAACTTTCTTTAAAAAAAATTATGACATTGATTGGCATTAACAAGGTACAAACCATTTCCACACTTCCTTCTCCTCTTCTTTCTTCTTTGTTCCCTTTTCCTTTCCCTAAAGAACAAGAAAAGAGATCAACTGTGCATCAAAGCTAGGGGGGGGAGAGAGAAAAGGTGATTTAGGCTTTTATTTCAATGAAAGACTACTTTTGCAAACCCTGTATGCCAATGGGATCATGAGTGTTAAAGTGTATCTTTTAGTTGGGTTTCTCCAAATTTCAATTCCAAATTGTACAATGCTTAAATAGCATTCAATTTTAATATTTACCGCAAATTTTCAAACAAATGGTGCTTAACGAAGTTGGAGTCTTCAATACATTCAAGAGCCATTGGAAAGTGTTCAAAAGTGTAGGGAAGTTGTCAGAACAACTTCAGATATGTTCGCCAGCATTCAGAAGTCTTCGGAAAATTGTTGGAAGTTGCCAGAACATTTTCGGAAATTCCAGTCACGAGGAGACAAAAATCCTACACATTTGACTCAGTTAATACTGGCAGGTATATCACTTTAACAAACTGCATGTGCCTTGTAAAATAACATAGAAGAGTAAAGATAAACATTTTAGAGCTTCATTGTACCTTTTTTTCTTCTTTCACACCCTTTGCTTCTTTTTTAACCTTCTTTTTCACAGAGCCTCCCTTGTCCTCCTTCTTTGCTGACTTAGGAGTACTTTTCTTAGCAGTCTTGGCCTTTCAGACAAAAAGGTAACAACAAAAATTAATATATATTGGTTGTATGATGGGAGAGCTTAATGAGAAAATATTTGGCTCCTGGTGAAGTTCTACAGTAATGAAGTCCTTTTTAAAGAATCTCTCTGTTTAAAATCAAAATACAATATTTACAATTCATTCAACAACAAGGGGAACTTGTACCCATCACATACCAAAGGTTTATATTCATCTTCACTGTCACTTCCAGAGCCAGCGCTCATCTTTCTTTTGCGCTGTTAAAAGAATGAATAAGTGAGTCTGTAACCAAAATGAAAAATTTCCATTTCCTGCCATGGAACTAAAAAGCATTTTTTGTGATTCAAGAAATATCAAATTCCAAAAACCGGATTTACACTAACTTGCACATGTTATGATCATGACATTAAGACAAAAGTCACAGGGATATAATGAAGTGACAGTTTTCCATCTACAAAATGGCAAAGTGTTTGCCATTTTGTAGATGGAAAACAAACAAGTCACACAAATTCAAAGAGGTTTAAATTTATACACTTTGTTGTCAGGACAAAATTCTGACCAAAAACATGAGTTAAGGTAACTGGTTTAGGAAAAAAAACACATGAAACAGTTTGCTGCAGACACTAATCATACTAACATGGCATGCAGAGCAACCTCATCTCAACATGCCAAAATACATTGAACTGTAAAATCATGTTTGATTACACTATGAACAAAAGAATTACCAAGAAGAACTTACAGAGGCAGAGTCCTTTGGCTTTGTAGCAGATGATACTGAAGACTTTGCAGGTTTCTTGTCTTTAGGGGTACTTAATCTAGGAATTATTAGACAATTATCTCTTAACAGCTACTGAATATTTACAACAGGACATCAGCTTACCACATATATGGTAGTCAATAAGATAACCAACATACACTACAAGTGATTTAAACCATTTAACTCCCAAAAGTGATTAACATGTACTTTCTCCCATTAATATCCATACAATATCTAACAAACAGGCTATGAGGATACTTAAACTTATCAGGTAGAAGTTATGATCTTGATCTCACACCAAATTATCACAACTAAGTTACAAGGAAATTTTTAGGAGCTAGAAGGGAGAATTAACAATCAGGTCTTGGGAGTTAAAGGGTTAACTGGTTGTTTTTACACATGAACTCATCACCAAACTATAGTTTTTTTGACAGTTTTTCAGACAAGGAAGAAGAACCAATGTACTAGTATCATAGACCTAGCTGCCCGCTACACTGGGGTGGGTTCTACTCTCACACCCAGATGGGCTGAGTTTGTCTTTGGATCTTATCTTTGGCACAAGGGTTACTTTAGTTTGCACTTCCACTAGTTTCCTTCAAATTGCCAAAAATCAATTTTAAATAGGAGGAACTTTCAGAGGGGCATCAAAAACCTCTACTGAGAGAAGCAGAGCTTTTTCAAGCAGTAGCCTTCGGGGGTCACAAAGGTAAACTCAGCTTAACAGTCTTTCATCAACTCACTTTGCAGGCTGGATCAGATAACCACAATGAAACCATGAAAAGAAAAAAAGAAGAAAAAATAATTAAAAAATTGTCACTTTTTACTAAACTCAAATTTAAAACTGTACTCTGCATGATACAGTGCTTTAATCAGAGAGAGCACAACTTTTAAGCTACAATGTCTAATGAAAGCTTCCTTTTTTTCTTTTGAATAGCAATGTAAAGAACATTAACTTGTATTATGATACAGAAGAGTGTTACATCAGTGTTGACAGACCCTGGCAATGGATTCTTCTTGTACTTATCATTTACATGACCATAAATATTAACAATTCACCACCGAGGATGGTATCCATGAGGTAAAATACACAACCTGTATAAACTGTATATATCTGTGTACATACAACTGAAATAGGAAACAAAAAGCTAATTTGCTACAAGTGCCTATTACCTATACTTTGGTGGACTACATTACACATCTTAACCTACATGCAAAAAGCTGAATAAAACCTCTACAGTGCTCAAAACTGCAATTAAAGAGTAACTTCCCCTAACCCTCTACAACCTGATATCAATATGCATAAAATTATTCTCCATACTGTTCTCTATACATTTCCTAAGGGGCTGACAAGGAGAATTTGTTTAACATTCAAGAGCTGCTTTCAATGGTGATCATTTCCTATATCTTTGTGACCTTAATATTTGATTTGGGAGTGACATTTGAAGGAAAAATTGGATGCTAGTTACTCTCAGGAGATTAGAGGTTTAATGTGCAAACAAAAATTTTAACATGTGAACATCTGAGTCTCACCAAAGGCTCTTCGTAATCATTATCAACTTGTTTCTTTCCAACTTTTTCACCATCTACTTTCTTTACTTTCTTCACATCATTCTTTTTCACCCCATCCACTTTTTTGTCTACTTTCTTATCATTTTTCAATGATTTCCCATCTTTCATCTTTTCACTTTTTTTAGTTTTGACAACTTTGCTCTTCTCTGCCACAACACTGTTTAAAGCAGATTTCACAGGTTTTGCGGATGAACCTTTTGCATTTGCTGCTGAAGGTCTGCAAAAAATGGGTAAGGATAAATATAATAATTCAAAGTTTTTCCTTTTAATGGCAATGAAAACTATGGCATGATTGCTTTTTTTCTTTGAGGGTGATTAAAAACTAAAAAATATATACCTGCATTATGGTTTAAATAATGTAAATACAAAATCTACAAAAACTACAAAATATATGAACTTACTTTTTCTGGGCTCTTGCAATCTAAACGACAGAAACAAGGAAACATGATAACTTCATAAATAAACCTCATCAAAGTGATTAATAATTAAATTTATATTAATTAATTCTATTGCAGTAAGTGCAATCTATATAATGAGGGTACCTAGAGAGTCTGTAGATAAATCAAATCTTATAAGAACTGGTTTCTAAAATTTTCAGACAGCAGCAGAAGAATTCTGTCTTACAGGCTAATGGAGAATAAGACATTATCATAAATGATATCAGCAAGTGAACAACCACTGGCTGAGATGCTGAAAGGTTTGTTTCTTTAGATATTTAAAGAACCCAGTTTACAGTATTCCTTGTACTCCAAAGATCTAAACTATAGGGGTCCTCCTGATTGCAATTCCCTCTGACTACAAACTAACAGTCAAAATGTTGGCTCAAGAACTTTTTCTAGGGTACCCAATTTATAATGGTAACTGAACTGAGTGGAGTGCAATTTGGGCTGAAATCATATGCCTAATTTGAAATCACAAGTATGATTTCAGACCAAAATTGCACAACATGAGGTTCAATTACCACTTTATTACATCCATTTTGAAATTGCCCAATTACAGGACTTGGTCAGTTCAAATATTTTATTGATGCAGTATTAAGCTGGTTTGAAATTAAATTCATGGGGGGGGGAATAAGAGTTTTGGAAACAAAAGTTGCAAAATTTGCCACATGATGCTCTGTCTTTCATTTTCCTGCAATTTGATTGGTTACTTTAAACAAGTCTTGAAATCTGATTGGTTATTTGTTTTAAGTGTAACCTCCTCATTGGCCGCAAAAAAGGTGCAATTTAAAGCAAAAAATGGTGCGATTTGTGAATAAATCGCACCAATTAGAGCCAATCAGATTACAGGGACCACCAGTGATTTCAAAATGGGTGTAATAAACATTAACTCAGCTGATAAAACCAAATCATCTTGTATTTCCTGTGATGTTTCCTTGAGAATTTGGTTTTACATCAAATCATATCCACTGACTGAGTTTGCTTCTTTCTCCTCCTCACTTGTCTACTTGACATTGCATCAATATTTGTAAGGAAAAATGACTTCTTACACAGAAGAGAATAAACTCACCAATGGTACATCATCATCATCATCATCATCACTTTCTACTTGACTTAATGCAGACTGCGATTGTTTTATCTTTAACAAAAAAAATAAAAATATTTACAACCCCAATGACATCAAATTGTTAACAACTTACCGTAAAAATTGTAATGAAACCTAAGCATCACAAAAAAGATAATCCTTGTGGAGTACTTGGGATTTTTCTTTTTCTTAACAGTCAAACACAGAGCTGAAATCTACCATCTCTCATGACTTTTTACTAATTATACTCCTGAGCAGTTCCACATCTTCATGATAAGAATGAGATGAAATGTAGCATCCAAAGAACCACTCAACAATTTGGTAGAGGAAATATTCTTATATTTCACAATTTGCAACAAAACTTGATATTCGAGCAAAACTGATTGATCATCAAGTAAAACTCACTGGTGTGACGGGTTCCTTTTTAAGAGCAACATTTTCCGCATTCTGACTTCTGTTTAAGGGTGATTGCTTTATAGGAGTTTGATGTGGTTCCTTCTTCATAGCAGAGTTGACATGAGATCTATAAGGAGACAAATCTCCAGAAGCATTTGGCATGCCTTGCTTGGGTGGACTGTGCAAGAACCTTAACATAAAAGAATGTGGGAAAGTAATGCATGAGAAACAGAAGTTTTGTTAGGATAAGAAAAACAGGAAATGAAAGGGGCAGAGTAGCCTTTCTATAGGATCATATAGGATCATGTTCTTATTGTTCAAACCTGACGGCAGTCTTTAATCACCAATATTATCAAGGTAATGTTAATCCCTATTGTCACACCCACTATAATCTGTTAAGTAGAATTTAAATGTTAAGAGCTTCTTTAGGATGTGTTATGTTATCTAGAAACAAGTCTACCCTAAGGTCTGAATGAGTGTGGTACTAACAATACACATTCCATGTGGCTTTTTATGAAAAAAAAAAAATCAGAAACAGCAAAGTAACAGCACATTAAGATTCTCCTCTCAAGATGAAAAAAGAAGGAGGAGAGGCTCTTAAAATAAAACAAAAACTTAATAACCAATGCTTCTTACCCCACTGCATCAGTCAATTACACAAAAAAAGAACTGGAAAAACTCAATTAAAAAAAAAAAAAAAGGACAAAAAAAAAAAAGTAGATTTGACGAATCAACGTCTCCTCACCAGTAAGATGTTTCAGCGAGAATTTTCTCTCAAAAGTACAACCCGCCCTACCCCTCCCCTACAAGAACCAAGATTCTACCCGATAACTTCAAAGGAAACAAAATGTCGGAAAGGGTGAACATTTTGTGGATCTTACCTTCCATCATTCTAGACGACAGGAAATCGGCGAAGCCCATGATTAAAATGTTGCAGGCATAGAGGAAAACAGAATACTCGTTAATATACAAGACAATTTTTTCGTTGTAAAAATTGAACGCAAACAACGCAAGGAATGAATCGAATACAATGCGCCGGCATCGAAGACTTCGAGTGCGGATCCATGAGAGAAAACAAGAAAAATTTTCGGTGAGTCTGTATCCATGAAGAGATGATTCGTACCTGGGTCGATCCAAACTTGATCTTTTTCCTATCGGGGCCTGCAAAAGTTAGAGAAATAAGCATTTCTTTTAATCGTTTTTATTACTCATGGTGCAAGTAGAATCGGAGAAGGCGAATCTGCTCACTTTCTCGAAGGGATAAAACTTTCGGAAAGCTAACTACTCCAAATAATTACCCGAAGGACGAATTGACAAGGGTATAAAATAAGCACGCTGTTAAAAAAAAATAACAACTCTAGGGAAAAGCGTTCAAGGTGTTATAGAACGCCGCAAATATTCTCGATCGATAGGCAAAGCAAAATGGACACGAAATCGACGACAATGGCGATCCTAAAGCTCTTCGTAAAAATAATGCAAGCGCTGTGTTTTTGGACCAGATTATCATTTCGCTTCGCAGTTCCCTAGTTTGAAACTCTAGGCTCAATTGTCGACGGCAGACGGAACTTCCCCGACATTTGGAAAGGAATGAATGATTCATCTACCCAACTACGATCTATCAACAATAGCTTAAGATTAGGCAAATTTGTATCTACATGTGCTTCGGTGTTAGAGAAAAATCAACTCCGTTTGCGAAACGATATATCACAGGAGAGAAACGGTTAAAAATTGGCTTTGGTTACCATAACAGAGCCAAAAATTACACCATACATTAAGAGGAAACGAGAGAGACAATAAATCACAGTAAAGTACCGTAGTTTACCAAAGAAATAAGCGTGAAATTACACGAATAGATGTGCCGTCAATCTTACCTTCGCTCCCGACCGGCTTTAGTTTCGCCTGGGCCTAAACCGGGTAAAATCACGAAAACAAAAACTTCATCACGAAATGTGAAACATAAACTTGTTTAGATTTCTCAAGCAATCCATTTTGTTAGCCCGTGTATGATTTCCGAAAGATTAGTGAAACTGCCCTTACCAGAACTGGGTCATCATCTCCAGATGCCACTTCTTCTCTCATCGGCTGCATTGAAGAAATATTGCTTTAGACACAAAGCTACTTACGAAGTGCGGTGAAAAATCGTCAGACAACAGAGGAATAATCTCAAAATAAATCAAAATCAACGTCTTTCAAGAATCATTCTTACTTTTTGTAATGGAGCGGTGTGTTGAATGGCTTCCCCGTTCATTCCGGCTAAAAAATTGAACGAAAATTTTCTAAGTGTCGTTCTCCAACGAAAGGCAAAGGACAAAGAAATAGCTAAGTCTCTACTAACGGTTAGTACGCAGGCGTGGAGGTCACGTGATAACTTGGTGCTTCATATCTCATAGGTTACCCAGGAAGGGATTTTTTTCTGACACACTTTTCAAAACTTTAAAATATCCTCTCTCTCGGCTAACTCCTGAAAAAGAAATTGTACAATTAAATAAATGAGCCGCTCCAGCCATCAATCTAAAATTCCTTCTCTAAAATGTCAGCTTTTTCCTGATTCCTTCTCCCTTCCGGCACAAGAGTATGTGCAGTTCACCTTTCGTTAATTATTATTAGATTCCCTTTTTGCTGATAACTCACCTACTCAATTTACTAGTATTTTAGTCGCTTCAGTGAAAGAAGGGCGCATCATGGGACCTTTTGAAAAGGAGCTAAAATGGGCAAGGGGGGAGTATGCGGAGGAGTGTCAATTGATTTAGCCGCTGGCTCTTTGTACCCTAGACTCAAATTATTCAGAGAGTTTACGGCGAGAGCCCGTGCTGGCCGTTGGCCAAAGCGATGTTGTTCTTTACGGTGTTAGTTTTCCTTCTCGGAGATTTTGCCTTGATTGAAGCAAAGGTACCAATAGTTATTGGTAAGTAGTGTACTAATCAACTTTGTGGGTGGTCTTATTTATTTACAACGATGCTCTCTTTGAAGGCGGTAATCGACTCTGATAAATTACTGTACTCGCGACTCGCCGTGTATTTCTTTGCTCGCGATCCAAGATCATTTCCTCAATAACTCCCATATAATTTATAACTAACAGTCTAACTGCTTTATATTTCGGCAACGGAAATAGCGAGTAGGGTAATGAGTAAAATCTGATTGCTTAGCTTGAAATCTGGTGAAACTCGAATTCATTAAAGATGTTGCGTAAGCAGTATTTACAAATTATGCAGACAATCTACAAGTAAGCGAATAGGCCTCACAGAAATGTCACGTTCACCGCAGGAAGATCGGTTAACGGTGTTGTTTATTTTTGCCTTGCGAGTCTTCGTCTATTGCGCGATTTGTTGGATGCCTTTCTTGGTAAGATTTCTGAAGATTTTCGCATAACATGCATCATTCTTCATAGCGAAACTCATATATTACACTGGGGACTTGAGTCTAATATGGAGTTATTCAACAGTGTTCCCTAGTAATTCATAATTGCTTTGTGAATAACATTCTCGTGTGTTTTACAATACATTTGGATATAGTTTTCTATTTTGCCATTGTATGCTGTAGAAATTGTAACAGGTGAAGTGTTAACAGCATTATCACCATCATCTTGTTTTGTAAAATTATCGAATTTTGTTGGTTTGGTCTCACACGTAGTGTGTTTACATCGCACCTGTTTATTGGTTTTATAACTATTAAATTTTCCTAAAATCTTACCAGTCTGCACTGCACATCTGTATGTCAATCACATTGAATTGATCATGAATTGACTTTTAATTTACTTACTTACATATTGCTGTATAATTCTTTTTCTGGCCATGCTATCTGTTGCAAAGTAAACCTTGAATTGAACAACCCACTCCAACAATTTCATTGAAGTGTATTTTTTCATCAGTCACCAATGACTATTGATGATTTCTCATGAGGTGAGGAGCTAGCACTGCTAACAGCATCTTGGTTTTACTAGTATAATCATCCTAGACTTCTTGTTTATTATGCAGTTCCAGGAGATGGAGGTAGTCAACTCCAGGCCCGTATCAACAAGTCAACAGTACCACACTTGTGGTGTGAAAAAACTTCAAGTTCCTGGTTTGACTTGTGGCTTAGCATAGAGTCAATGTTACCAGGAGCTATTGGATGTTGGGCAGACAACATAAGGTAAGCTTTATTCACTTCTTTCACGTGCTGGGCTAACATGTGAGATTTCACCAAATATATTTCAACATCTGTCATGAAAAACCAAGATAAATTTTTTAATCCAATGCTGAGTTCAAAATGTACCACTTTTGTAATGCTATTTATTCATATGACACTTGTGACATAGATGATCCCTGCTGTTTGTAACACACATCTCATATGTACCTGGTGGTTGCCTTGCTCACCACTGAGTTCCCTTCTCTTAATGGTATAGTATAAGAGCATGGAATCCAAAAAGTTTTATTCCTTAATTAAAGGCACTCAGTTTTTTTTGTCCCAAACTTCTGATAGGTTGACTATTTAGATTTAGTTGTAGGTACAACAACAACTCTTGATCATCTGTCAAAGTGACACAATGAAACCTGTACTAAGCTTTCACCAAACTCTTGCTATTTTCAACTTAATACCAATGATATGCTTGATCCAGATTTAGTTATTTAATAGTGGCAATTCACTGTAAGACCCCACTTAGCATGGTGCAAGTAATAAACAATCAGGTTGTTATGGGTGGTAAGAATAACATTACAGCAGTGGATCTATTGAAAATATAGAATATTTATCTTTAACTGTAAAAAGGTAATAAATGAAACTTTAAGCTGTTCTAGCCTTATACAGGCAACAGAAGTGCTCCTTTTAGGTAAAAATATGATTCAAGTGCAATGTGGTGTTTATAAGCACAAGCAAATTTTTCAAAGACAACAAAACTGCATGAGCCTATAGGGCAAGTGCAATGTGTAGTCAACATGATTTTTGAGTGCAATTTGGTGTTTTTAAGCACAACCAAATTTTTCAAAGACAACAAAAGTGCATGAGCCTATAGGGCAAGTGCAGTTTGTAGTCTTTGAAAAATTTATAAGTGCTTATATATACCAAATTGCAATCATGTTATTACTTGTTAATTATGTACGTGAAAAAACATAGCAGAAAGTCAAGACAGGGACCCAAAAGTTTTTTAATTTATGCCTGCATCTATACTTGTGCTGACTTTCCAAGAGTCACCCAATTATGTTGACTTTATTTTCCTTAAGGCTTGCCTTTAATGAAACATCTCAAAGGATGGGCAATGCACCTGGAGTTGAGGTACAAGTTCCATATTTTGGAACAACCAAAGGTGTTTCCTATTTGGATCCTTCTCTTTATCATCCAGGAGAGTATTTTGCTGAAATGGTGGCTGCTCTGGAAAAAATTGGATTTGAGGAGAATATATCACTGCGAGCTGCACCATTTGACTTCAGATATGCACCAAGTAAGTACACTGACTTTGAAACTTATGTGATTGTTACTTAATTATTCTAACTTATTTGATGAACCAATACTCTCTAACACAGTTTCAGTGAACAACACCCCTGTGCCCAAATCATAGTTTCTACAGTAAATTGCTGTCTTGTATATCAGTTGCTGTATTTTGAGAAAACTGCAAGCTCTCTTCTTTTAACAGTACAAAACAATGTTTAATTGATTACATTCATTGGTTGCTGTGGTTTTTCCTAGCCACTGACTTTTGCCATGTACAGGAGTTTGACTTGTAGAATACAGGAAAGTCAATTTAGTGAAATACATTAGACCCTGTTGTTCAAATGTTGTTTAGCACTAACCTTAGGTTAAATGTTTATCCAGGTTTCTTTATTAATTTGTTCAAAAGCCTTTTGGAGATAATTTTCTATATTTTCCTTCTAGAACATCCAATAATCAAATTCTAAATGCTCTATTAGATCTGAAATCAGATGTCACATTAACCTTGGGTTATCCTAACCCAGCTTTAAACAACCAGGCCCTGTATGTTACCCAATGTCTAAGTCAGTTCCCAACAAAAGTCAAACATTTGAAGCAATGATTAAGTGATAAGAATAGACAATGGTGTGCTATACAAGGTTATTTTTTGGTTGTAACTTCACAAAATTCTTCTAATTTGTAAGGAAATGTACATTACCTACTAGATAGAGTGCAGCAGGTGAATGAGAGAATTATTTATCAGTCATTTAGAGAATTAAAGGACACAAGTGGCCTTTCTTATTATCATTATTAACAAATTAAAATTATTAAACTAAGCATATGACAAATGTATTTTTCATCTTGACCTGAACACCTAAATTTTTAAGTTTCCAGCCTCTCATTAACTTCTTGATTGCACAATTTATTTCAGATTCTGCTCTGGAATACTTTGCCAACTTGAAAGCTCTAATAGAAGACACATACTTGAAAAACAATAAGACACAAGTTGTTTTGCTGTCTCACAGCTTGGGATGTCCGTATACTCATCACTTTCTCTACAACATGTCTCAGGAATGGAAGGACACACACATAAGGGCTTGGGTAACTATTGCTGGGGCATGGGCTGGTTCAGCCAAGCTAATGCGTATATACGCTTCAGGAACCAACCTTGGTTTTCCAGATGTTGTTCTTGAGCCACTGAACCTCAGGCCAGTTTTACGAACCTATGAGAGCTCTGCATTTTTGATGCCCAGTAAAGATTTTTGGTCTGCAGAGGAGGTGAGTGCAGAGTTGGTACAAGTTATTTAAACTGCAGCTAACCATTAATGACAAAATAACTGGTATCTTTGTTATCAGGAATTACTGTGATAAAGTCTAATTGAGCATCCAGGTGATCCACTAGGCATCAGAGCTTAGGGGAATAAACCACAAATCAAGTAGAATTCTCTCACTAAATTTGGATCGGCCTGTGCTATTTTTATCAACCCATTATTCTCTTAGTGTAATGCATTCATATGCATAAGTTAGAACTTTGGAGAAACTGGGAAAGCAAACAGAATGCACATTAAATTTTCATTAGTCATCTTCTCCAATAAACAAGCTCTAATGAAAGTAGGCCATTTAAGTAACTTATTTTCAAAGGAAAAAGCAATCGATGTATGTCAAATTTAAACTCAGAAATCAAGATAAAAGATAAAAATTCCTGATTTTTTTGCATATATGCAACATTCTTGTGGATTGGGGAAAGCATCTCTTATGCAAGCCACACAGCACAGACAGTTCAGTGGCCAATGGGAAGGAGAACATTCTACTGTTACTAGGCACTAAACTCCTACATTTTACCATGAAAACCCTTCACAAGGTGCCCAGGAAGACTGTGTGTGAGAAATTGAAAATATCCAATGGGACAAATAGAGAATTACAGAGAAAGTGATTGTAAATTAATTCATCTCTTTTGTCACCTTTTTCCTCCAAACTTGTGTTTGTTTAGTAGTTGTAGACATTACTGTCAAGGAAAATTTACTCTTTTAGAGTATGTAGAAGCTCTAGATAGTTTGGTGGGGCTTTGTAAATGTAATTTCATGGAAGTGAGAGATGTTTTTCAGTGACACAGTACAGGCAATTCACAGTGCTCTTAACTTGAGTTACACTGTTACCTTTCTTCCTGCCTTTAGTTCCAAGTTTCATTTATTTAACAGCATCTGATTTTAGTATCAAGTTGGAAGGTCACCTTTGGGTTCAGAACCTGTTCAGAATACTCAAAATTGTTTTTTCTTTTTTGTTCGAGAACCAACTCTGCCTGTATTGCAGACTGAAAAAATGTCATCATTCACTTTCACCGAGTGTTACATTGATGTGTCATGAAAATTGCAACATTCTATGTGTGACTCTCTTGTGCATAAAATTACTGCTCTTTACATCCTTGTCTTTCCTCCACAGGTCATTGTTCAAACAGCCAATCTAAACTACTCATTAGGAAACTTAGAGAAATTTTTTCATGACATTCACTATCCAGATGCCATTAACATAAGTCGACAGGTTCCACCTGTCTGGATCAATGACCCACCCAATGTACCTTTGTATTGCCTGTATGGCACAGGAGTACCAACACCTGAAAAGTTTGTTTATGGAGCAGATGAGTTTCCTGATACATTTCCTAAGACATTGTTCGGAGATGGAGATGGGACTGTAAACATTCGCAGCCTAAAGGCTTGTCAGAGCTTTGTGGGTAAACAGAAACAGAAAGTAGTTACTAAGACATTTTCAAATGCAGACCACATGGGTATCATTGGTGACATAAGGGTTATTGAATTTGTGAAGAATCTCATTAGTTCATTGGATTGATCGTGCAATTGGTTTTCTTTTTATCTGAGATTTTCCTGCGCTGTCAACACAAACATGTGCATGATCTGTATATATTTTAGCGAAATTTAAGTTATTGCAAATACTTGCCGAGATATACCAAAGCCCTTATGGAAATAGTGTATCTCTCCACAAGTACTTTACAAGGCCTTTTTACAAAACGGTAGCCTAATAACGAAAATTTGTTGTAACACTTAAGTAGAAACATCTTTCATGTTTATATTTATTGCCAATATTAAGAGGTGAAGGTGTCTTGAAAACGATGATCTACAAGTGGCTCCGAAGTACTTTTAAGCTCTTTCAACATGACCAAGTCTTCAAGGTTTTGCAGTGAGAAAAAATTCGGTGTTGGTTTTTCAGTCCTGTTGGAGAGCGTTTGTAGTGGAAACATTGTCAACTCTTTTCAAGTTTCTCATTATGCGTTAAATGCAATATTGTTCCAGATTGCATTTAAGGTATAGGGAAATATGTTTTAGAATTATTGAATACAATCTAACCTAGCAAAAACAGCATTATCGTTTCATCCATAGTTTCTTTACTGCACTTATCATTATTTCCTAGTTAATTTTTTTTTTACATTACGCTTTAATTACACTTTATTTAGTGACAGCTAGTTTTGAGTGGTTAAGAATTAAAAATTTTTTTTGGACGTTATAAAAGTCGGAAAAAAAACCTATCACAGAGCATTTTTCAGTGCTTGATGAGTCTTGCAGGGGTGTCTTCATTATAACAGCGTGAATCCTTTGTTTCCAAATCTCCGTGTGGTTCTGCCAATAACTATTTTAATTTCTCAACATTTATCGTGAAGTTACAACCAGTACTTTTTGCCTTTTTCTTTTCTTGCTTGATTGAACCAGTGACACCCTAATGATAACATCTTGAAGAGCTGCATTATCCCCTCAGTCAAACAACTTCTCAGCTCAAATGCCATACTTAAGTTATTTGGTACCGTAGGACTGTTCGTCACATAAAAGACAATCTGCGTACCTTACAACTAATGGTCAGGTATCCACTCAGCAATACTTAACAAAATTGACTGTTTTTCAAAACAGAGATCGATCGGACCGTGGAGGTAAAGTATCGCCTTCTCTCGCATCGTGGTTACAGTTATTGAGTGGGTTTCCTTTACTACCAGTTCTTCTTCCGTTCAATTCAATTTTATAGATACCCGATGCCCCAACGATGACAGGTCTCTTAGATCCAGCGGAATCAGTATGTGAACCTCTTGCTGCGAAAATCGACGAGCTGTAAAATGTTTACACTATTTTCCAAAATTAAGTAAAAGCAACTTAATTAGAGTTGAAAACTAACGCGCGCTCGTACTTGAGCGTGGGCGCATTTCCTGTGCAGCGGATTTTTTTCATGCACTTTCCTTTTGGACGGAGCGTTGAAGTTATTAATATTGTAATTAACGTAAATACATCGCTAGTCTAGCCTGCACAGCTGTTTAGTGCGTTACCTTGGAACCAGATTCAAAGAAATAACCTTTCACCGTCAATAATTTGAGTGGATGAGTGATAAGTTTTGATCAGTGTAAATATCGATCAAAAATTTGTGTTGCGGGATACTTTAAGTGTTATCACAGTTATGTTACCAAGCATGTTTATGTTGTATAGTTTTAGAGCTCTCGTATATGAACCAGATCATTCAAACTGCAATTATAGATAGGAACATAAAGGTTGGCCACGATGAACATTTTTTTATTTTTGTATATTGCCATGAACGCCAGACGATTAATCACAGGTTAATAGGTATGAATTTCTACATTTCTTTACACTTATTAGTCACATGAAAGTGTTTTGTTTGGTTCAATTTCAAACAATCTAACATAATCTTATGTATAATTTTCAGTCGACTAATTCGTATTTGGCAGCAATACCCACATGTCTCGGGAGGTGTTTCTGATTGTCTCCTTAGATCTTATACTGTATGCAATACATTCCTCAGAATAGGGTCCGCCGACCATAAGACGCACATGGTTCTCACCAATGACTTTACAGAAACCTCCACAGAGCTTACGCATGAAAAAATGTCCCTTTTTTTTTAAAAACAGACTTTGGCACTATCAATACACAGTCAGAACGTTCTGTGTCCACCGCACGGTTGAGAGCACGTCAATCAATCCTATACGTCGCATATAGGTTAACATGTGAGTGTGCATTCTGAGTTCAAAAGGATTTTACATCAGTAACTGGCGACAAACACGTTTCTCGATCAATCTGGATTGATCAAGCACTGTTCAATTTACAAACTAAGGATTGCAATTTGTTATTTGCTGAAGAGCGTTTTGAAAACCGGAAAATCGTCAAAAGTTGGAATAGGGACGTAAACATTGGGTGCGAAATGTCCGTTCGTACCTGCTATGAACTCATGAACAGTTAAACCCAAATTTTTATTCTCAAAGAAACTCAGACGTACCTGTTTGCGACCTTTTTCCGAGTCCTACGGACATTTTTATGTAATCTGTCATCTATATCTGAGCAGACACTAGACAATATAACGTTCAGTTGTTAAAGAGGCCAAGATCCAGGCCTTTGCCACTCAGAATCTATAGTTTCTTCCCTCGGAATTTAACACAGAAATTATTTTATTTACGGGCAGCTGAGCCTCCCAAACACTTTCCCCGCATTTCTTACCGCAGTTTCCACGCTTCCTGATTTCTATGGAAGGATGTCGTCTTTATAACTTGCTTATTTTAATCAGACTTACGGCAAGGGAGATCACTAGATGTGAAACAGTTGCAATAATTTTTGATAGTTTTGATGAGAGCATACTGCAAATAAAAAAATTCCACTTTTCGCGTGGCCTTTAAGCAACTGAGGAATGTGGGGTATGACTAATACGAATGGCTTTCTAAGTAGCAAGGAAACTCAAAATTTTGTGACGGAATAGTAACTACCTTCAGCGCTAGCAGACAAAGTGGATTAACTCCAGCAGTCCATGAAAGCTATGTATTAGATTTATTGAAATAGTATGTAAGACTACACTAGAGAAAGATATTTTTTTTTGTCTTGTCACGAGTGTGACAAAGAAAAAATTCTGAGTCCCCCCATCTTTCTTAATCTACTTACAAAACATGACGCTAAAGCCAGTGCTGGTCCCACCAGTATACAGGACACGTGTCATATTTGAACTTCGTAATGGGCCTTGTTCACCATCGAGTCTCTGTGGCTAAGTGGCAGAGCATCAGAGCGCAGAATCCATGGTCTAAGGTCTGATTCCCCATGGGGACTCAGGAGTTTTTCTTTGTCGCATGCTCGTGACAAGACGATAAAACACCTTTCTCTATTTCTTTACCGAACTCAAAACTTATAATCTTTCTTATTCTACTTGCAATAGGCTAATTTGCGTTTGTATAGGATATATGGGTAATACATAGTAATAAAGTTCTGGCATGGGTAGCTGTACGTAATCAAAGTACCAGTTCAGTTCACTCTTATGAGCCACCCCAATCTTAGCCAGATTGAACTACACGATATGAGTGCAAGGACTGAAATACATTGCATGCATGACCGATGTATGTAAAATCATCGTCAAATATTATTCTAGCTTCAACTTTTTGAATCTCGGTTTGACCTTGCATGACATGTAATCCTACTATAGAGATCATGTTCTCTGGTCGATTATTTGATTATTTTGCCATTTTTTTAAAAATGGCAATGAAGCCGTGTTTAATTATTTACAGAAGAACTTATCCTTACTCCAGCAAATGCAAAATTTTCGTTGAAGCATTATAGAACTATTATTTAGCATGCAGAATAGTAAGAAATACGAAGAGTCGATTGATTTTGTCTAAAGGCATCATTAGAAAAAACCACGTCACAATCGATGTATCTGAATCATGAACGCTTGATCGTATTTAAAGTTCGCGACTGGCGCTAAATCAGTTTTGATCTCCTCAGATTGAACCATTCTTATTTCCATTCTAGTTACCCTCTCCGATCTCATGAGGAGTTTCGTGAAGTGGCCTGTTCAGTTCAGTGGCTTGCATTATTTTACACCCTTTAATGCCAACTGATTCTTCAGTCGATCAAGATATCCTGAGTCGGGATAACCGCACCTAAAGAAATGGAAACAAAAAGGACCGTCTTTGACCTCTGGATGCACTATTAGTAAAGCAGATGATTTTCATCTACCGAACAGATTTGTTGCATATACTTTGCAGTTTGATTTTCAGACTAGTCTCTATGAAGAGGAAGTATTGGTGCTAAATGGTGGCACTCCACATAGCAGCTGTACTGAGAGTATTCAATCGACAAGGGAAAAATATATTGGATTAAATCTAGCAAAAAGTATCGAAGATAAAAATAATCGGTTTTTTCAATTGTTTCCTTCTGCGCTTCTCTAAAGTAACCAGACAAATAACGAAACAGAGTTGAGTCATCAATCGACATTCGTTTATAAAGAAACAAACAAAGGCATCTTAGACTTAGACTCACTTAAATGGGCCACCACTGCGACTTGTTTTCAGTTCAATGTCATTAAACAGGATGGTGTTGTCTGCTCCGATGGTAAATAACAGTTGTGCGTCAAACGCTCTCCTCAGAAGTTCACACAATGTTTGTCCCTCTTGGTTTCTTGGCAGATATGCTGAGCAGAATAAACCCAAATAAGGAACCCCAGGATTTGGGTGCTCTTCACCTACAATACAAATTTCATACAGCTAAACAAATTAGCTCCATTTCTTTTTCTTAGCAAAAGAATACACGAAAAATCAATGAATAGATTAATAGATATATAAACAACTAAATGAAAATATAATGAAACAACCAGGTAATCAAAATATTTTCAATAATCTTACGGTGGCATGAGTGTACTTAATATTTTGTAGAAATTAAACGGCTATAATGAATCATGATACTGTTAGTCTGTCTTTGCAAATAAAATTTGGCTGAATAGCTTTGAAAAATTAGCTCGAGTTAAGCGGTTTGCCTATCGTGTTCTACAGAGGTTAAATCCTGTCTTCAGCACCAGGAAAATCATTCATAGTCACTTAACGTACCTTGGATTCCTCTGTCGAAGTTAAAACCAAGCACTATGGTTTCAAAGGCTTCGTACCCTGGGAGAGAGGGTCCTGAGTCTCTCCTACAGGTCATATGTCCAGTCGGTTGATTTCCAAGGAATAAAACTTTTCGTCTGCAAATATAGCAGAAGGTATCATATTCGCCGAGTAGCTTCTCTTTACATCCCTTGCAATATTTGTAGTGTCCACACTGTAACTGGAAAAGTGGAACTACATTATAAAAGCAGACTTGGCAGGTTTTTCCCTCCTCGATCAGGCCGAACGGCTGGTGATCTGAAATTTGTAAGAGGCAGATTAAAGTCTGAATAAATCATCAAATGCATGTAGCCACTTCAGAAATCAGAGTTAGTGAAGTTTGGGTAATTGAAGCAGTTGCAAATTTACGCAAATCTGTGTGCAGTTATCATTCTAACTAAAGATAACAGAGTGAAAATAATGTCAATAAGTAAACTGAGAAATAAATAATTAGATAAATGAGTGAAAGGGGAGATAATGAATTAATCAATCATTCAATCAATCAATCGATCGATGAACAATAACTCTATTAGCGAATACCTTTCAGTTTTCGTATTTTTTTTTCCACTTTTAACTGGAACGGACTTCCTTTGATAGGTTCATCTGCAACGCGCACAGACACGTTGAAATCTCCCGCAGTTTCAGGTTTGTATGATACTGTGTAGTAGCCATTGTTTGAGTCTGTTACGTTGACCTGTAAGGCTGTTCCCATCTGCAGTGATGTAATGTCAACAAGGATTTCATCTACTTCACTGTGAGTTTTACTACCATGTGAGTCTTTTGTGATGACTGTAAACTCACAATCTTCGCCTTGAGTTCCTTCGGTGAGTCCCGCACCCTCTGCCTCTGATAACGAAGGTACAGTTTTGGTTATCATCACTTTCCCTGGAGATTCTTTCAAGGAGAACAAATCATTTGAGACATACTTGACTTCGGAGCAATTTGGTTTCATGTTTGCATCAGAAGGCTTAGAAAGTTCCTTAAACCGTTGCTCAAGTATTTCTTCCACGTTTAAGATCTCCGGTAGATTATTTCGTCGAAGTATGTCGTTGCAAAATTCCAAACCGCTCTCTATTTCCGTCAGTCTTTCGTCCATTCGGAATACAGCATTTGAAAATTCAGCTTCAAAAACATCTTTTTGGCTGATGAGTTGTTCCGTGACGCTTGATTCGTGCTGTCGAATTAACGCTATGTTGCGTTCAGCGACTCGATGCACTTCGTCTTTCGCTTTTTCGATGCTTTTGCTCATTCTCAGCCTTTGTGCATTTAGGAATTCTTTTTCCTTTCGTAGTTTAGAGCCATTTTCCAGAACGTCTCCCATTTTGGCCTCGATTTCTGATCTCTTCTTGTCCAGTCCTTTGTCAATGGCCACGAAGTTGTGATCTCGGTGTTCCAAGATGGCGCAGTCACGACAAATGCATGTTACGCACTGATCGCAGTAAAATCTAACTTGATCTTTGTGTTCTTTACAAACGTTCAGTTTCCGAGCGTAATCTTGTGCGTCGCTAGACACAAAATTTCCAATTTCTTTGACGTGATGGCCGCTAAGCACTTTCAATTTTTTATGAGCCATGGAGCATTCTTCACAGAGGAAGCAATTGCAATCCGAGCAATAAAACTTCAGGGACCTTCGTTGGTCGCAGTTTCCGCACTGTGGCGAGTCTTCTCGTCCCTTTCCGCGGTAAGCCTCAACAATTCCCACCATCTGCTTGTAAAATAGATTTGATGGAAGGCTGTTGATGTTGTTGTTGGGACATTCGGTGATTTGACGGCATGTCGGACAACTCAACTGCTTTCCACCCTGTTGTCGTAACCACCGTTCCAGACATGATTTACAGAAAGTATGGAGACATTTGAGTATTTTGGGCTCGTTGTTCTCGTCAAATTGTTCTTGGCAAACGCAACATTCTAATTCTTTTTTGACATCATCGAAGAAACTTCGACATTGAGCAGCCATGGCTACTAGAACGAAGGTATAGTCCGACGCGGAAGTGTATATTTGTGCCCAGGCCACCTTGGCTTAACATGTGGAGTGATCATTGGGATCAGATTGATCTTAGAGGGCTTTTTAAAATTATCTAACTAATTGGTTTATAGGTGGCAAGAGTATAGTTTTCATCGTGTCGATCGTAATCGTGTTTTAGCTTTTCACATAAACGGAATCCTTTTTAGAATTCTCGGAAAGTTATGTACTTTGGGTGCGGTAAGATTGTGTTATGAGGATTCAGTCAGCCATTCTAAAAAAAAAAATTTGCCAACTATGTGTACCCTTCTTGAAATGTAGTTCTGTAATACCAATATACTCTTGGTGATACTCTTCCCATGCTCAATTTCCTTTCGGGAATCACGTGGGGAAAAAATATTTCAGGGACTGGACTTTCTAAGCGTACTCCTTTTGATCGACCAAAAATTACGGGATGTTAAATACTCTTTTTGCAAGATATTAGGTGTCATTTCAACTGAACGAATCCCAATAAACGATAAAGGCAGTAAACTACATGGAATCGCCTAAATTTGACAGGCAATAGGATTTAAGCTGCAGTTGACCTTTTCAGATTGTTCTGGATGTTTCCTTTAAACAAAAAAAGGATCAGGCCTTTTTTAATACTATAACTTTACTTAGTAATTCGAATTGTGTTGTCTCCAGTTTCGTTACGGTTCAGGGTTCTACTATCTGCTATAGAAAACCACAAGAAAGAGAACGAATATAAATTAATTAGGAGTTCACAAAAGGTGGCTCATGACATGTTTATATCGGAACCCTGAGCAGTGTACTGACTCAAAGCACAAAATCAACCTTTAGTTTAGTTTACAGTTCAAACCACACTTTATTGTGATAAGAGATAAAACATTTAAGTAAGTTTGCTATGCCAGCAAGGTGCGTCCACTAAAATTGACAACAGTCTAAAGAAACTGTTGGTGAAAAAGCTAAGTGAGCTGAAAAATACATACTTTCGCTCATTACGTTCATCAATTTAAATTTACAATATGATTTTGCAAAAGGGAACAGGACTAATTATTGTAACTGAGGCGCACATATTGACAATTAAAGGATAAGTTTTAAAGTACTGGCGCCAACTTACTGAATCCTTTATGAAAAAGAATACTAATACAAAAACCCTGTAAGCTGATACAAACTAGAAATTGGTATCACGATCAATTAAGCACATTTGAATATCTGCATACCGTCATTTTATCACTAAAGAGGACTTCAAGGTTAATTTGAGGCTCTATTGGCACATCGGCACAAATTTGCATCAATACCTAATGTTCTGTCACACGTGACATCAAAACTACTCGTTTTTCTCACTTTTCTTTCTTCCAGGTGAAATACATTATCAAAACCTTGACTGACCTGTTAAAACTTTTGATGGTGTTAACAAAAACCAAAAATGTTTATCAAAAACTTCTTTCTTGTAATTCACAATCAAGTCCTCTTTAGCTAAGCTTGCAAAACAGGAAATGGCTTGGGTTTGAATCCTCATAAGAAACTATTTAGTTTTCTTTGTCCTAAGCTCGAGGCAAAATATTCAACATCTTCGTCTACGATTTAAAATCATATCTCAAAACCAAGTTAGGTAGTACTGAGAGCATGTGACGTTCCCCTGAACTAAACAAAAGTTTGACGATGCAGTGGTGTAACGCCCTTGTCAGCAAGTTGTTTCTTCACTCGATCAAGGTAGCTTGGATCTGGATAACCGCACCTGCAAAAGTATACATTAAAAAGTGAGTTTTTCCACGATAACGTTGAAGATGGAAAACTCGAAACTCGCTAGTGTGCATCTAGAAGGAGATAAGAAAAGAAAAAAAGTAGGAAAGGGTCGGTAACTGAGAGCAAATATAACTTAACCCTTACTTCTCGGGGTTGATGGATCATGAGTGAATTTTCACGATATCAGTGTATAGTCAAAAAGACATATGGTCAAAACAAAGACAAAAATTAATACGGGGATATCGTTCGATATGGCACGAAATGCCCAGAAATTCTTGTAAGGTGGAATACATTATTAAACATATTGATAGTCAGAGTAAGGAAGAAGAGCAAATAGGGAACATCACTAATGTCTCAGATCTAACATCCGAAATTATTGGGAAACAAAAAATTAATAGGAAGATCTCTTTCGGCAGTATAGGTATGTATTACCTGACTATAACGTCAAAAATGAAAATAGTAGAGCGAATATTTCGGGAAATGAATTGTGTGTTCCCGAAACCAATGACGAGCTTGTTTCAGAAATGTATGTTTAGAACGCGCAAGTCAGTAAGTTTTACAGTTGGAAAAGCTAACTTACTTGGCTGGACCACCGATTGGACTTGTTTTCAGTTCGATGTCGTTCAACACAATCTTGTTATTCTCTCCAGTAGTAGGACTTCTTCCGATAGTAAATATCAGACGTCCATTAAATGCCCGTCTCAGCAGGTTACACACCTCTAATCCAGCGGGGTTATTTGGAAGGTAGGCCGAGCAGAAAAGTTCACTGAAACGCTCTCCTGGATTAGTGTGGTCTGGACCTATAATAAGCGTATGTGAAAACTTTAAATCTTAAAACAACTTTGTTGCTCTCACTGAAGAACTTAGTCCACATATTAAGACGTGCACCCTACGAATCCGTAAAAATAATGACATTGATAATAATATTATAATGATAATAAAAGTAGTGCTAATAGTGATAATAATAATAATAATAATAATAATAATAATAATAATAATACGTTAGCTCGAGAAAACCGAGTTGACACGCGTTTTGTTGACCACAAAGCCAAGAAAGTACTCATGGTGGAAATGAGCTGCCACTGAGTGGACAACCGCGCGAAGAAAGGCATGGGCTACTGAGACTGAGACTGGAGTTATCAAGACTATGCCCAGTGTACAAGGTCACTAAGCTTAATTTTATCATAGATGTGCTGGGCGGGTGGTCCAAGGATCTGGAGAAGGAGATGACATGCATCTTTGGAAAAGCAGGAAAGCAAGTTTTGGAAATAATGCTGAAAGCAGTACTAAGCACCACTCTGAACATAAGCAGACTGTTCAAAATCACGACTGCATAAAAATTGCAACTTTTTATTAAAACGTTTAGAGAATAGAATAGAGAACTTCATTTATGCATTCATAATTTTTTAGACCTTTTTATGTTGGAATTTCTGTTTGGCAGATTGATCACCCAGTCACTTTTTATGCACCAATAAGTTTTCACTGCATAGGATAATTGCCATTACTACTAGGTAATACTACTACAACTATTACTAATAATAAAACTAGTAATAATAATGGTTTATCAAGTGTATATTTATTGCACATGACTCTTCACCTGTTAACTACAACCCGCTAACAATGATGATAAATAGAAATTATAATTTATGGATATGTATATGAATAGATAAATAGAACATAATCGCTAGCAATAAACCTACCCTTAAAAAAATTAAAAGGATTATAAAGTTCTAAATCAATCCTACCTTGAATTCCTCCTTTAAAGTTAAAGGTTAGGACAACGATTCCACACCCCTCGTAACCTGGTAGCGAATGTTGTGAATCAGTTCTCCAAGCCATGTATCCAAAAGGCTGGTTTCCAGGAAACAGCTTCTCTTGTGAACACTGTGGACAAATACCTATCTTCTCAATAACACAGCTGATACAGTTTTTGCAAAAGTAATGACCACATTGACGTCCGTAAACAGGATTTCGGTGCTGATTCATACATAGGGCGCAGTCTCGAAAGCTCATGTCAGGCTGTTTAGTCATCTTGAGGAGTGATGCCGGATCTAAAGTAACGAAAAAAGATATGCGATATGTTTAATAACTGCAGATTGAAAATAACAAGTTGATACAAGTTGTGGTTTGGGCGTGTCACACGAAAAACCAAATTCGTTGCCCAAAGATATAAAGAGACAACGAAGCAAACTTAGCAAGCTACCCAGATTGTTGTAACTAAACTTTTTATTGTTCTTATCTTACCCCCAGCTTGGTTTTGGGTCACTCAATTTGATGTTATAAAACATTCAAGATTTTATTCAGTATGGTAGTTTGCTTACCTGGGCCAGCGCGTCTGCCAGATGCGTGGATATCACCACCCCCAGGATCTTGTCTCTCTTGTATTGTTTGTCGACCACTGATGTCTAACGATTGCCCAGATGCCAATGCATTTTGTGGCTGGGTTACATCATTTTGTTTTTCGTCAGATATTGATTGTTCAACCTCCATGTCCATTTCTGCGTCGCGCTGTTCGTCTTCAGGTCTGTGGATGTGCGTATTCTCGTCGTTTTGGGGTTGTTTACCACCGCTCAATGATTCCTCAGTGGATCCGTCGCAATTTCTATTTGGGTCTGTCATGCTACCATTGTGACTCAGTTTAAAACCAGAAATTTCCTCTTGGTTTGAGTTCGGACGTCTTGCAGGTGGCTCTTCTTCCTCACTTTGATTTCTAGGAGTTAAAGTTTGGTTTCCAGACTCGTCTACCTCTTTACCTGTTTCTTTGTCCGTTGGTGAAGGATGATTGGCATTTGAATCCTCACTGACTGCCTCACTAACTGCCTCAGCAAGACGTTTGCCTTCTTCCGTCACAGCCATACCAGGTGGAAATGCATTAGTACTATCGTTACCGACGTTAGTGTCATGCTCAATGTTCCGGGTATCAGCTTCTGCCTTTGGTTTTCCTTTTTCACCTGGTTTATCCGGAAAACGAATTGCAAGATGGCTTTTTCCTTTACCCATAGATGGTTTCGATGTGGTGTTTGCGCTTTCTTCTTTTGAAGTTTCTGGAGTTTTTGAGCCTTGTTCACTGTCAACGCCATGTGTTGGAATTTCCACGTTTAGTGCTTCGATGCCCGTTGAGGTATGTAATTCACTCTTGTTATCTTCTTCAAAGGCTTTCGAAATCTGGCCAGATGGATGGCTGTTGCCCTTGCTTGGTTGATCTCCCTGTGGAAATTTAGCCTCGTTATTTTCCTTCGCATGGCCTTCGTGTGAATCCTCGCTCCTTGTTTCTGATGGCAACGGCGGCTTGTTGACATTGGAGCTAATGTTGGAGGGACTCTGTGGCTCTCCCTCGTTGCGTACTGTGTTTGTTTGAGTAGGCACTTGAGAAGTGTAGCGTTTCAAAAACTCTTCGTAAAAGACATTGATTGTTTCGTCGTCAATAATGACGATGCGAATTTCACGAAGAGTACTGAATTCGGCTTCAACGCTGCAGCTGAATTCTTCCACTGCTGCAAACATCACTTGAGCGCAAATATCCTTTGGCATGCCAAAAATACCAGAGCTGATGGGCGGTAATGCAATTGAACAGAGCTCCAATTGTGCTGCAAGACAGAGGCTTTTAATGCACGCAAGGTGAAGAAGAGAAACACATCTGTCTTTGTCAAAATCATCCCACCTTGGACCAACCGTGTGAATTACAAATTTGCAAGGAAGGGTGCCGGCCCCTGTATGAACAGCATCGCCTACTCTCAGTGGACATCTACTTCTCTGTGCCATTATTCTATTGGATTCTTCTTGTATTATGCGGCCACCTTTCCGTACTATCGCTGCTGCTACACCACCGCCATGCTGAAGCCACTCATTGGCTGCATTGACAATAGCGTCCACGATTTCGTCAGTGATATCACTTTGGTACAAGGAGAGCTTCAATCCATTCGTCAGGCCTTGGCTGAGTACTTGTGCTGAGGGTATATTCTGGAAACTGTTCTTGCTCTTTGTATTTCTCAGACCGCGCCTTGTACCTTTACGGTTACCTGGCAGTAGTCCAAGGGTTTTTTTCAAGGTTTGCACTGCAACAGAAATGTTTGTTTCCTCCGCATAGACGACCAACTTGTTTTCTTTCATCTCAATAACCACATTATTTTCAGCTTCCAAATTGCGGATATCCTCGATGGCAAGTTCCCTGCTATCGGAAGGTTCTAATTCAATTTCCTCTCGGCGCATCTTTGGATATAAGTCCTGATAAAGACTTATGAACTCCTCGCTTCCTTTATGGCAAGTTTCACTAGCTGTTGTGGCTGGGCATATCTGAACTAGATTAGCATTTTCCTCCCAAATAATATTTACGCCATGTACGTCTTTTATCTCTTTAAGTCTGGTCTCATAAACCCGATGTAGAAGCTTCATGATTAGAGGCTGCACCTCGAAACTGTCGAAATCATTATTGGCAGCTTCTTTTTCAGAGGTTTCTGAAAAGTTTATCTTGCGATCGACATGTTGGTTTTCCCCCACACGTCCTTCGGAACCTCCTTTCAAAATGTCTCGAAGGAGATTGTGTGCGGTGTTAATTTGGTCGAACGTTCCATCGAGAAAATGTTCCTTAGAATCAGGCTTGCTACTGCATTCAACTTTTGCGTCATTCTTCATGACTTTCAGTGCGTTGTGCGATGTCTCGAGCGATATATTGAACTTACCGAAGTCGACACGAGCCTTCACCCTCTGAAACACCTATGGAAATCCAAAGGAATCGTAAGAATCACTAGAATTAGAATACTTTGACGTAATTGGTAAGAAATATATACGATTATAATAGTAAAACTATGAAGAGAACATGTAAATTGAAGTACTTTGGACAGAAAAAAAAATTCACAAATGTTTGAAATGAGTCATATTTTGATAGGTAGATGATAATATTGAACTGAAAAGAAGAAATTCCAGAATAAAAGAGCCTGAAAATATCAGGTTTTAACGTGGGTCAGTCAAGTATGTCTTAGTTTTCTTTAAATTATGGCTAAGATCACATCACACTCTGTGATATTCATTTTTACCTCCACAGGATGATCTGGAACAAACCGGCAAACCTTTAATTGAGGTGATGATCCCTCAATTGTGTGGGACTCTTGCAACACTGTTGCCACGACTGTGCATGAAAGAAATTATTATAATAGTTATAATAATAATTATGAAAAAACAATTAAAAATGAGAATTAATAACACAATTAGCTTATAGTGGAACAGTTTATACCTTGCAGAAAAGCAGTAGGTGGCATTTTATCTGGGTTTTTTTTAGTGGTTTTTCAAAAAGTGTTATGATTGAATGCAACTCTCTCTTCTTCCCTAACTTACATATTAAGTGCAAAGTTGAATGTAACATATATACTTTCTATATATGTCATGTTTTAAGTACTTCATCATACAGTTTTAAAATATTTCAATAAATTATGTAAAAAGCAAGACTTCTTCAAGACTAAAACAACAAATATGTTTAAAAAAAGATCAAGTTACTCCAGGTTTCAATTCCTCATGGGTTCTCAGAATTTTCCTTGGTCCCAATCTCATGACAAGACATAAAAACATAAATCTCCAGGTTTAGTTGTCACTAATTATATAAATAAAACTGCAGGATTAAATGGGATTAGATTCTGAAACAAATAATTACATACATACATACATTCTTTATTTGATAAGTAGGTTGTGTGAAAGGCAGCCAAAGGGCTGATGTGGACCTACTATACTAAATATTAGGAATTACATATATATAAAAATTGCAATAATAACTTAGAACTACTATATACAAATAAAATGGTGTTCACTAAGACTAACATATAAATCTAAAAGTAAATGAAATGGTCCTTTCTGTTGGCAACTACTGTTGCCTCTTTCTCAAATGAAAAATTGTCAATAGTCTTAACATGTTTACGTAAGATTTGTTTAAAAGAATAAAAACTTTCAGGTACTTTAACTAATCTATTTACAAAATTCCAAATAACAGGACCTCTGTATCGTAGGGAGTTCCTGCCGGTCTCTGATCTAAATCTAATGACATTAAATTGGTTAGGAACACGAGAAGATCTAGAAGAAACTCTTTTAGAAAACAGTTCACATATCGACTGGGTCGTTGTTCCAAAATATACTTTGTGCAAGAGGAACAGTACAGATTTTTTATAGAAGTAAGAAATGGGCAGCCAGTCGGATTTCATGAGACATGTGTCATCTGCCATCGTTGAGTCGAGGTTATTCACAATCTGAGCTGCTCTTGCATGAATATGGTTTAGAGAGTTCAGTGCGGAAGGAGAACAATTTCCCCATACCGAAATTCCATACGTTACACTGGGGATAATTGTTTTAAAGTATATTTCCTCGAGAACCTTCTTCGAAGGATTCTCATTCTCTTCAACGCTCCAACCTTCTGCGTAAAAGATTTCTTCACTGAGTCAATGTGCACAGACCATGTCAGCTTATTGTCAATTTTAACTCCAAGACAAGTGGTGTAATTAACCAGGTCGATATGGCCAGTGTTAAAGTGGAGGGGAGGTATAGGCCCAACAAAAGAGGTTTTACTTAGTATCATTGCTTCAGTTTTAATTGGGTGGATGGTTAGCTGATTCTTAATGCTCCACAGGAGAACTTGCTCCAATGATTTATTTAGTGACAACATAACCTGGTCAACATTTGGTCCAATACAGTAAACTGTAGTGTCATCTGCATACATGTATAGATCTCCCGAGTCGATGTGGTCAGGGAGATCATTAACATATATGGTGTAGAGCCGGGGGCCAAGAAGCGAGCCTTGAGGGACTCCATATCGCACATAGTCAGTGACCGACCTGCAATTATTAACTTCAGCAAATTGACATCTATCAGTAAGATAGCTCATTAGCCATTCATGAAGAGATCCTGATATTCCAATGGCGTGTAGTTTATGCGATAAAATATAATGGGGACAGTGTCAAAAGCTTTCTGGAAGTCAATAAAGACTGCTCCAACTGTCAGACCATTGTCAATTGCTGTCTTCCATCCTTCAGTCATAGAGGTAAGCATTCCTTCAGTCGATAGTCCCTTGCTAAACCCCCACTGTTTACAGCTTTTTTTATGCCACAGCTGTTCAGATGGGTATCAATTATGTTGCAGATCTGGCTTTCGAGCAGCTTGCTGGGGATATTTAAAAGTGATATTGGCCTATAATTTGAAACATCTGCTGGGTTTCCTTTTTAAAGATTGCATTAACTTTTGCAATCTTCCATGTGTTAGGGAAGCTGGACTGAGCCATGCTGCTCTTGAAAACAGTTACAATGCCCTCTAGAGCGGATGTTCCTGCAATAGCTAAGCTACGAGAAGAGATGCCATCAGGACCAGATGCTTTGTTAATTTTAATTGTCTTGATATCAGTTTTGAGTTTGTTGATGTTGACCTCCAAGACCTGCACAGTGGGGGTAACTCTGTACATGAATTGATGGGGATCATCAACTTCGGGAATTTTTCAGCTAGTTCCTTGCCAATATTTATGAAGTAAGAGTTAATCAGTTCAGCTTTCTCGTAGTCATTTGTGATTTCCTTATTTTCAGCATCTCTGAGGGGGCCAATATGTTTATTCTTAGGTTTTCCAGTGGCCTCGTTCACAGTTTTCCAGAAAGATTTTGAGTCCTTGGTCTCTGTAAATTTCTTTTTCCAATATTGAGCTTCAGCACGTCGTAGCATCTTAGATACTTTGTTCCTAGAGGATTTGTAATCAACCCAGAGTTTATTAGTAGCGGGTGTGCCATCACAGGCTTTCAGAAGTTTATATCTCTTATTCATCTCTTTCCGGATCTCACTGTTCATCCAAGGTAGTGAATTTTTTCTAACCTTGGCTTTACGTAAGGGAATGTGACTGCTTGCAATAATATTATACATGCAATTCCAAGCCCAAGTGATGTCATCCAAGTCCTCAAAGGTGGAACAGACCCACCAGGGAGCACTTTCCAGGTCATGTTTGAAGTCTTTCGGGTTTTCCAACACGTTCTTGAAGTTGTGGACATATTTAATAAAAGGCTTTGGATTCCTGATCTTCAGCTTGTAGATAACGTAGATGAATTTGTGATCAGCTATGCAATACTCAATCACATCAGACTTTGAGACCTTTGAGGTATTGATAGTCAAAATCAGATCGATCAAAGTGTTAGAATGTGCTGAGGTTCTTGTGGGTGCTTTTATGATGTTACAAAAGTTATAAGATTGTAAGATGCGTTTGAATTTCGCACCATTTCCATTAGTAGCAGCTGATCTGAATTGAAGTCACCAGCGATCACAACATTCCTGCGAGACATCCAAATTGTACTCAATACTTGGTTGAATTCATCAAAGAAAGATGTAACGTCAGGAGGTCTATATACACAACCCACAAGTAATCTTTGCGAGTGAGCTTTCAATTCAATCCAGAGAGCTTCAATGCCGTCGTTGTCATATTTGGATATACGTACACAATCTAGGCTAATGTTAAAGTAAATAGCGACTCCGCCTCCTACTTTGTGTGACCTATCTCTTCTCAGAATTCGGTATCCATCGATGTTTACTTCGTTATCGCTTATATCTTGTGTCAGATGCGTTTCAGAAATGGTTAGGATATCCAGGTTGGTATGCTGTAAAAGTATTTTCACTTCGGGGAGGTTCTTACGGAGGCCTCGCACGTTCGAGTGACCGATGGATACTCCTTGCTTTCCATTGTCTCTCACCACGTGAAGTGCATCAAACAGAGGGGAAGCAGGCCCCGGGTTAGGACATATGTCGCCACATAGTTGTAAATATTCAAAGTTGAAGCTTGCATCGGAGTTGCTGTAGTAGTTGACTCTCGAATTCCTGAATCTGACTCGAGCTTTCCACACGAATCCAATATGGCGGATATTGAGTCGAAACAAAATGGAAGATATCGGTTTCAAAAACCAATGATTATCCCAGCTTTGCTTGTTTACTTTGACGAGGCGCATATCTAGTCCGATGTGTGCATCTTTGCCACTTAAACATGCCAATATGTACAGAGAAAAGCCAAAAAGAAACCAAAGTATAGGCGAACTAAAAATTTTGCTTCTTCCCGCCATGATGATTGTTATTTCGATGTTAATGCTAAATTTTATCCACAGTAATGCGCGAGATCACTGAAGCAAACAAATCACTGCGAGCAATTCTTCATTTTCGGCCTGGTCCGTCGCGCGAGTAAAAAACTCAGCCAAACCAGGTACAAACCAGGTACAAACCGGTACAAACCAGGTACAAACCTCCTGATCTTAATTTTGTACACTCATATGTATTCAAAGCAGTTCTACTGATTTAAAGTAAATGATTTTTTATTCCACAAGCATCATGGTGCACTAAATGTATTCAATGACTCGCTGAAGAAAGTGAGAGAGATGTAAAAGAGGACAGCTCATACTTTTTGTTAGGTGATTGCACAATATGAGGCACTATAATAAAACTGTTATTTCAAGTTGACACAGATATTAAGCCTAAACACATTATAAACAAAATAGTGCAGGTTTATTGACAGCAGTGTTTCTGACACTGCAACATTTTCAGCATACTCCTCCCATTTTATAACCTGATTTAATTACATTTCAATCACTTTCCTCCCTTGTATACCGATACTTTGAATATTTCGATTCATACAACAACGCTAAATTCCTGAGTCTGATGGTCATGAAACTATCCCCTTTAAGTTGTAAGGCCGGAAGCGAAATTGGATTTTCATAGGGGCAAAAATTTTCCCCCCTTACGTTGGCACGAACAATAGTGTACCTAAAACAGAAAAATTACGCAAACCTTCGCTTTTTTCGAAAGTGATAACGGCTGTTCCATCCTTGGAAACGTGTATACGATCGAGTTCTCCTCCGCCATTTCCTTTCTTCTGAAAATGTATGACGACCGACTCAGCTGAGGTTGTCGCCGGTATTTTGGAGACCACAATACTCCTTTTCGCCTCTTCTTCGCTCATAAGCAGCAAATTTGGTTCATTTGTCTGTATTCGGACGTCAATGATAATGGGGGACATTTTGGAAAAATCAAGCCCATATGAACTTGACTCAAGAATGGAAACTTTCGAGGAAGCTTTCGGTTCTTGGAAAGAGAACGATTAAGCCTGGGACAAAGTCAATTTAGACGGAAGTGGTCGGCCGACTTGAAATCGACTCACAGCCCATGGGTCTCCGAGGATGGTCCAACTTATCGTCAAAAGCTTATCAAAACGCTGATTATTTTTTAAAAGGGGACGTTTTTACCCGGCTGGGTTCCCGCACCAGTATACGACAGCTTCTTTAAAATGATTCAAAATAACAAGGGATTTCCCGGAACCCTTTAGACTTCCGCTTTCGGTTTCCTAGAAATCAGCTATTGTTGTCGTTGATCTCTAGGTTCTTGATATTCATCAGAATTTGGACGAGCATGGCAGAGAAACCGGAGTACAGCATCGAATCCAGTGGTACAACATTTTTGTTGGTGGACGAAGACATTCATATCGACCCTACGAAAGCTAATCGTAGCATAAATGTCACAGGCATTCCTAAGGGAACTAATGCAGAAGACCTTGTTATTCACTTTCAACGTACTGGGAATGGCGGAAGCGATGTCGATGAAATTGTAATGAATAAACAAGGATCTGCAGTGATAACATTCGACAAAGCTGAAGGTAAGATGTCTGTGGCAAACTGTAGGGTTTTCGTAAGGTTACGACCCACTTTTTTTTTCAAATTAATTGTTTCTGTTTGGTCCTTCGAAATGAAATGTTAGATGGTGATTATATTTGCATATTTGCCCGCAAAACGAAAGTGTTGGAGAAGAGACTATTTTGGGAGAAGAGGCTTAAATTTTACATGGAATTTAAGGGGAGATATGAGAACGCTGGCAGTCGCAATCTTAAAATTAAGTTGCGAAACAAAATTTCACAGTAGATGCTGGTTACGAATTCTTCGTTGGGTGGATGATTGAATTTTTGACAGTATTGGTTATGAATCTAAACCTGCTGGACACGATGCTTCTTTCGGGCTGGTCTTTGTACAAACTTGATTCATAATATCAACATGCCCCCTCCCCCAGAGAAAAGCATCTGATATGATTTGAAGCAAGGAAAGATTACACTGAAGCTGATTATCACTTAGTAGATGTAGAATTTGTTAAATATTTGATACTTTTTTTCCATGAAAGTAAATAATCTATCTATTGGTTTATTTAACTACGAATGGGCAATTTATCAACATTTCCTGTTAGTGAAACCATCACTTATAACTACAACCAATTACTAGCCCTTAAATTCCTACTTACTTCAACCAAATACTGCCTTGAATTGTGAACTCTTTGTTACCTTTCCATTCCTATTTAAAATTAATTTTAAAATACTTGTGTTTTTGAGTTGATTATATTGTTTAGCACAGTGCTGTTAGTCACCAGGGTATACAATTTAGCCTTCACCATTTGATCATTTTAGCTAGTTGTCCATTAAGGGTGCAATTTGGGTGCAACTTGGATGCACCTGACCTCTGCTTTCTCAATATGTATCTGGGTACCAAAGGGAATGAATTCAGCGAAGGGTGTTGTTTGTTTCAAATTGGTCAACCCAGCATTAACTGTTGTGGAAATGCTAAATGCTCATTACCGGACTAAGTGAACAAAATTTGATTTAATTTTGAGATCTTTCAAGCTCCACCTCCTCATTAACTAATTTTTAGTATAATTGCTTCAGTGATTATAGAGATGTGTGCACTCTGGTTAGTGGAGGATTACGTCATATCTCACCTTACTAGGTGATCATAGCAGGAGTGCTAAAATTTCATGATGGCTGCCTGGCATTTTATCAGCTTTACTGAGAATGTGATGAGTGCGATTAAAAAAATTAAATCTGAAGAGTACAAAAGATGCTATTAAATTTGTACTAACATCGTTTTGAAGAGAGATAAGAAGTTTTTGCTGATTAAATTAAACATACCTATCATATAGTAGAAACTTGTTCTTAATTTATCTGGAACAAGTAATCAAAAAAAATGAAACAGAATTTAAAAGCAAGTAAGCAATTATTCTAAAAAAAATTATTTGCCTCTGCTGAGGCTCAGTGAATAATGTTGAACAATCCCCTTGACTTTGTTTCAGACCAGTTTTAATACCAGTACTGATTTGATGGACATTTGTTTTCTACATGAAGGTCATGTTTTTTTTTGTTTTTTTCTGACTTCTCTCTCTAAAACTATGATATTTTAAAGGGAAATGACTGCAGATTTGGAAACAGTAATTACACTGTGAATCAGTGGCACCATTTGAGCCCTAATAGTACACAGTATGTGTCATGTGTGTGCGCTGTTATCACGCATTTGGGTGGGGGAACCATTGTTTTTTTTCTTGAATTCAAAACATAACCAATGTCTAATTTTTTTTCTGGAATTTTGTCATAGTTTTATTAATTGGTGAAAGCACTTTGCATCATCCATTAGTTCCATCTGTAATCATACTCATGATAACAAATCAGACTTCTGCTTTGTGGTCATCTCATTTTAAACAAATATTGGATGAGGTTTTTGTGATAACCAGAATAATCAAGGTCAAGGTAGGGGTTACCAGCTGAAGCTGAAGGCCTTGATTATTCTGGATATCACAACAAACAAATCTAATAATTGTTTTATTATACACTGAACAAAAAATAAATGGTTTCAACAGGAAGTGAAACTGATAGTTTATTTCTAAATGTGTAAAAATATACAAATCACCAAGTAACACAAAGTGTGTGAACTTGACATGATTACCCATAGAAATCACGCACTGTGGTCTTATGTAAAATTACCTGTGAATTAAGATTACCCGTGACCTTGAGGGTCCTTGACATGATTATTGTATAATCTGTTGCTAGATGACTTCCCAGGTACTGATTTCAAAAATTCACTGTACGCTTTTGGCCAATCACAAAAGGGATAATGAGTTAAAAGTATAATGGTGTGAATAATCACACATATGATTTCAGACTTAATTGGACTCCACTCAGTCCTATTACCATTATTAATCATAACCATAACAACTGCCTCAAACATGATTGGGGCATAAGCTGCCTTATTTTTTATTAATTATTCTGCAGAGTCATTATCAGACACCTGTAATTGGACAATCATACTAAGCCTACACAGCTTAATCTATCAATCTCAAAACTGATTACAATAACCATTGATAGCAACAACCACTTATCTTACAAAACTGGGTAATTTTCAAAATTGAGGAACTATTTACTTCAGATAATTATTGTCTCCACCACAAATATTTAAATAAATGTATTTTTTTAATTTAAAAATTTGTAATAATTATGATTAATTGTTCTTAGGACTTCTTGTCATCCAGTTTGGTCTGTAATCATACCTGTGATTGACAAATCTGACTCCCACCACGCAGTCATCATTTGCTAATTGTAAGATAGAGGAAACTATAGCTTAGAGAAAAGACTCTTGAAAATGTTCCCTTGTTCTCTATATCACCTTTAATGGGTCAGTGATCCTCACTTACACGTGCATGTTCTACATGCAGCAGGCTTTTGTGAAACTTTCATGAGTCCAAGTGGCTTTATCTGAACATTTAGTGCTCACTTTGTTAGACCTGTATACACATGTGAGTTAGCCAGGACTTACATAATTATTTTTACTCATGTCATTAATTATTTAGTAATTTAATTACCCAATTCATCACATCTATACATTTCCTAATCATTTTTAACTATTTACAGAAAAGGAGGTGGCTAGTGGTGGATATTTACCAAACTGTGAAACAATGAGATAAATATCCACCCCTAGCCACCAACATTGAGGCAAATATAAGTTGTTTTTAATAAGTACACATGTTATACTGAAAAAGAGAGAGAATTGATAGCACAAAAAGATGTGTTAACTCATTTATTCGTGCAACAATGGCAATATTTTTGGGAGCAAATCCCACTCACATTTCTGGGAGGTGGATGGCACATTTGAGTGGCCAATCAGAGTGCAGCTTCAATGCCATTCACTTTTTTAGTATATGCTAATTAATTACATAATTATGTTCTATTATCATGAGAAATAAGGCACACCTGATTTGGCTCCAAATAAAACTGTTCAGCTCTTTAAGCCTTCAACATCTTTGTTGAAATCCTAGTCCACTGCCCCCCTCTTAAAGTGACTGCAAAAAAAATTCCCATGGAGATCAGAGAATTTATTTTAATAATGATGGGGGTTTGGCTTTCAATTACTTTAATTAATTTAATACTCAAGTGCTAAGTAATGTTTACCAAAGAATTACAGGGTGCAGGTAAGACATTAGACACGCATTCTTACTTTATCATATTTTTAAACTTGCAAGTCCAGCCTCTCGTTTCACATTTTGATTTATCACATAACCATCATAAAGAGCACGCTCTGATTGGTTAATTCAGTGACTACTATTTGCCCATTGGTGTATACTGCTCACATGAGCAAATGCTTCCGCGAGTTTGTTTTGCATTATCGCGATAAGTTTCTTCAATAATGTGATGATTGAGAGTGCCTGGTGTTTCGCTGGATCAAACATGTCAACCTTTCCGTTTCCAGAGACTGTGGTACATGGGGAGGTGAGGGGGGATGAAACCTTTTTCATGGTTTTTGTTATGTTTCAAATTATTTTGAAAGTATTTTGCCGTAATGTTATGTTCAAATTATATGGCAAACTATATGGGTTTTATTAGTGATATTTTTAAACTTAATTGAGATGACATGTGTCTGTTTATGCATGATATTAGATATGCTTCTGTAAGGCGAAGAGGAGGGGGATTCAAGGTTTTGGATTCACAAAAATTCAAAATCCCTCCTTATTTTTATCACTTTGAATTAATTTTAAGTATTTAAATTAAACAATTATCTTAATATCCTAAAATAGATAAATTTCGGAATTTTGTGATACTTTATGCATTAGAAGCATGCACCGCCTAAAATTTCACCTCAAAAAATTTGACCTGCAATGCAATTTAAGCAAAGATGACTCTTTTGTGAATGATTGTAGCAATAATGAATTGCCTGTGTGAAGATTTAAGGTAAAGAAAATTTATGTAGCTTTACATGGGTAGATCGAGACCACTTCTCTTTTTGATTCACACAAATAGAGGAAGTTAGTGATGAGGGTGAGCGAGTTTTAATTATCCTCATAAAAGTGGCTTAGAAATTATAAACAAAACGGAACAACACAAAACTTGTACAGGTGACGTACACATTAACTAATCTGACATTTAAATTCTTTTGATTTTAGCTGTGAAATCAGTTCAAGAGAAGAAACAGATGTTTAAAGAAATTGTTTTAACTGTGCAACCGTGTGTCACGGTTGATGAGGAGGTACCTACTTCAAAATAACAGTTCTTTCTTCAGCTTTGTAACGAAACTAAAGTAATCAATCTATATTTTACCCCTTATAAGATTGTTTTTGTTTTGTTGTAATTATAATAACAAAAAATTATTGTAAATGTTCAAGCTTTATGCGGGCAACAATTAATGAGGAACTATATCTTCATGTCAATGATCTCTTAATTATTTGTCTCGCCTAAAATTTTATTCTGATTGATTTACGTTGCAGTTTCAGTTGTTTTTTAAAGTATTTGTAGCCGCTGTTTTATCTTTACGTGGCTACTAGGTCTATACCCTAATTGGACGATAATATTCGACCTTATGGCTATTCATGAGATTCTGACTCGTAGTCTTCTTGTTGAGATTTTTAGTTAGGCATCTTGTTACTGATGCAGGTGTTTGAGCTGGTATCTGCAGAGATTTGCCTAGCAACCGTCGAATTTCTTACCCGTCAGCATACAGAAGTTGTCCTGAAGGAAATTGCTGACAAAACTGGGATCAAGTGGCTCCATGTTAGTGACACTTTCATGATGTCAGGAACCCTGAAACAAGTGGAAATGTCACGTGGGTATCTTCAGCAAGCTATAAGTCAATATGGTGGAATAGCAGAATACAACGAGATGAAGAGGAAACTCTCAGAACCTCAGAATTTAAGAAGTGGAGAGGCCGTGTGTTATAAAGAATACACTGAGGAGGAGGTTGGGAGAACCAATGCCATAATGAAGGCAAAGAACACGTGGAAAAAAGACCCTCGTGACGAGGAAACAGACGCAACGCAAACTGATCACATGGCCCCACTAGCAACCGTTAAAATTCATGATTTTGAGGTCGATCCAAAGCTCATAAAAGTATTTGTGATGGTGCACAAAGCTGAACTTAACGATATCGAGGTCGAATACCACGTAGAGGTACCAAGAGAGGCGAAAGAAGGAAAAATTACCCTTAACCCCGCGAACAAATGTACAGGTGAAGGATACGAGAAGGCGTGCGACCGGTTCATCGAAATGTATCAGCAAATAACTCAAGTTATGAAGATGGAGCGTTTCTCGCTAAGGAATGACAAAAATGTAACCATTTCCCGAAAGAAGATTCATGAAATGGGTAAGAAATTTCCGGTGTTGGTGGAGGTATGCAAGGATAAAAAACACTGGGAAGTGTTCGGGAGGCAACATGATTTAGAAGAAGCCTTGCGATATCTTCAAAACGAGGAAGTAGAAATAGAGAAGCAATCCGAAAAGGGGAAGCCTCCTGGCGATCTAAGGAATGGCGGCGAAGGGGCAAAGGACGCCAATCCATCAGAGTTTGCCAAAGTCAGCCGAATTAAAGATGTACTGGAAGCCTACGTAGGTGAGTACTCAAGGCTAGAAAAGGAATGCAAAATTTACATACTGTTGTGACTCGATTTAGCACTCTTGTTCACTAAGTGCCTCTTTCTAATAGCACCCTTACTGCGTAAGGACCCTCATTCCAATAAGCGCCCCCAATTCTTTTTCAACGATAGCACTGCTAGAATAAAATGTACATTCCCTATCTTAACCATGTGAATATTTACTGTACAGTTTCTTCTACTGCTCATCTTTAAATAAACATCAAAGCTTTGTTTCGCACATTCTGCTGTTTCCCAGTAAAGAAATAAGCGCCCTATTTCCAACAAGCGCCCAGGGCGCTAAATCGAATTATTACGGTATTTTCTATTTTGCTCTGCGTATCCATGCAAAGAGCACTAATAGGATGAGTGAAACAACCTACATTCCGTACATAATCGCTCTGACGAAGGGCTAACGCTCGAAACGTCAGCTTTTTACCCTTTACGGTGGCTAATTTACGTTTTCAACCCAGTTGTTAACACTAAATTACCTGTTACATTCCGTACATGTGTGCTCATTTTCACTCAAAACATTTATTCAAAAGACTCTTTACTAGTTGCTTGCTTTGTCAGCTTCTAGAGGTGATTTCAAGTAGGGTTGTTTTGAAAATTAGTTTTCAGTTGATATTGCATGAGAGAGAAAAAATAGTAACCTAGCATACATTTTTTCTTTGTGGCTTTATAGGGAGGGTCAAAGTTTCAGTCTCTCGAGGAGACCTTACCACTGAAAAGGTTGATGCTATTGTTAACGCCGCCAATGAAACTCTTCGACACGATGGGGGTCTCGCTAAGGCCATTCTTGACAAAGGTGGAAAATTAATTAGCCAAGAATCGAACAAGATTATTAAGAAGCGTAGATCTTTGAAGGAAGGTCAAGCAGTGTCAACTAAATCAGGAGATTTACCGTGTAAGTTGGTCGTTCATGCCGTAGGGCCAGAGTATCGAAGAATAGGATTAACCCAGAGTAAAGAAGTTCTCCGCCGAGCCTGTTTTAACAGTTTGAGAATCGCACAAGAAGAGAAATTGACCTCCATTGCTTTACCAGCGATCGGATCTGGCATTTATGGCATGCCCAAGGACGCCTGTGCTGAGGTGATGTTTGATGTCGTGGACGAATTTATTCGACAAGGAGATCCTAAGAAGAAAACAATCACTGACGTTAGATTCGTGAACATAGATGATGCCTCCTTTCAAGCATTCAGGAAAGAGTTCATCTCTCGATATGGCCACACGGGAGACGACGTACATGGATCTTTCCACTCGAGTCCAACTGGTGCCGAAGGTACTGATTCATACACGCAAACGTCTAGACGAAATCGTGGCAGAAACAAGGACAAGAGTTCCGAGGCTAATGGTGCATTAGCAAAGTCTAGAGATGTATCTGGAAGCCGTAATTTCGAAACCAATTTTCATCACCCGCTGGATGCCACGGCTTCTGGTGGTTCATCGCTTCCAAACCTTTCTTACAGTGGCGCTGTTAAGAAATCTACAGATTTTAATTCTGAAGAAAAGAAGATGGGGTTTTCCCTTCCCCCTGGGGAAAATAAAGCTCAGACGGACGATAAAGAAGATGGTAAGAAAGGCAAAGCGGGTAGGCTGAGTGGAGCTGAATGTTGTATAAAAGATATATTAAGATAGAATCACTGACTAAGGAATAGTAAGGTTGTTTGTCAAAACGTGTCTTCTCAGCAGAATCTTGCCAGTTGTACCCAAATGTGGTAGGATATAAACCAGAGAGATAAACACAGTGATGCTATTAGTCTAACTGAATTGCAATGTATGAGTTTTTCATTAAGAACTAACGCAACATGAAAATTTAACTTTAAAGGTCTTTGTGTGTTAAGGTGTGGAAACGAGAGGACCTTTAGTATTCCCAGACAAATCTAAAAGCATTTCTCGTTTATCTGCGCTATTAGATCCCTGTCCCATCTGTCTTGATACTTTAACGAAACCACGGAAATTGAAGTGCAGACACACCTTCTGTTCGGACTGCCTTAAACAAGCTTTGAATGCAAGCAATAAATGCCCAGTGTGCCAAGAACCGCAAGGTGTCCTTCAAGGAAACCAGCCCCCTGGAGAGATGCGATATCGTGTTGATCGTTTCAGTGTTCCAGGATATGAAGGTAAATAAACAACCACACCTCACCACTTGCTTTTAAGATAGCTGAATATCGCACTTTTTGAAGCATAATTGTTTGGCTCAGTGCTCAGTGGCAGCGTGAAAAAAGTGAACTATGAAGAACTACAAATATGAGGTATCTAGTCCTAAATATTGTGATGCAAAGTATTGTTTTAATCTAGAGATGTGAATAAGATGACTACGTTAAATATACTAACAAACTATTGGGGTAATGATTTAATGACTATGATACTCAGTTCCCTTTTTACGTATGTATTTGTATGAGAATGGCTCAGTTTTAAATCGACGATAATTTCGACATCTCTCGAATGAGACATTATTGAGGTTTATGGCGATGGTAAATCGCTAAATTTAACTCTGATTTTACTAATATCAATGCCGTAGAAAGATAGCTGAAATCCTCTGATTTGAAGGTAATGGAAATTTGCTTATAAATCTCTTGATAGAAAACTTCAGAGCAATGAGATGGATTCATAAACCAAAGCTGACAGACCACGAATAAATTTTTTTCAGTAGATGAATCAGTCGAATATTGTAAATCGAGAATAAATACGGCTAAAAGTAACCGGTAACAAGTTCAATTTATATCGTTTGCCGTGTGCCTTGAACATCTTGCTCAGCCTCTCATCAGTGTCTCGGGAGAGGGAGTAATAGCTGAAGGAACTGGTATTTAACAAAATCTTTTTCAGTTTTAAGTCGATAATGTTTCTGGTATATTACTCCCTAAAGATAAATCCCTGGGTTACGAATAATTTCCGTTAACATTTCTATTTTTTTGCGTTTGCAGATAGTACAATTGTCTCGTTTACGAAAACAACAAATTTAACAAACTTATCTTTCGCTTTGAAGGTCGCGGCACGATAGTCATTGATTACCACTTTCAGTCAGGAATTCAAGGTAAGGAACATCCTCACCCCGGAAAGTGGTATGAAGGCACGAATCGCCAGGCATATCTTCCCGACACGCGTGAAGGAAGAGAGGTGTTACAGCTTCTGAGGAGAGCCTTTGATGCTCGCTTGGTGTTTACCATTGGTACGTCAAATACTACAGGCCTTCCAAACCAAATAACTTGGAATGATATTCATCACAAGACCAACTTAAGTGGAGGAACTTTTGAGTAAGTAGAAGGAAAACTTAATTAATAATCCATTGATAATTGAATTAGGAAAGAGGAAGTTAAATGTTTTCCCTTAAATTTGTCTATTTCCCTGTTTTCATATTGATCTCTGAATGCTTTTGATGTCTTGATTATTGTACTTTTTAGCTACGGTGATTTTTTCCAGACAGTGCCAGGAATCACTTCCTACGGATATACACCCGCACCCATACACTGAGATATCAGATCAATCCTAAGTTAAAAAAAATTCTCATGTTTGATCCTTTTTTTATGGACTCCTCTACTGAGAAATTAGAAAACGCGTGTTTCGAAAGTACGTGAGGTTTTCTGGCATCATCGGTCATTCATATGACGTAAGACCACATGCTTCCTTGAGAACTGTTAATGAGCACAAGGTGTGGTAACCAAACTTAATGATATTTCGAATAAAGTGGCCGACGTTTCTTTTGATCTTTTAAATTAAATGACTGCATGGTATTAGTCAAGAGATTATCTTTTGTAATGGTTTATCTTCGCAAAATTATTCGAATTTTACCTAACTTTTGGAGTGTTGCTATTATACTTTTGACCTAAAAACAACGAATTTGGGGAGAAGAAAATGTAGAAATTACTCAAAAGTGAAAATTAGGCTGTTTCTTATTTGCACTCGTAATTAAAGTTTTCAATTTTTTTATTTGAAGGTTTGGATATCCCGACCCCGATTACCTGAGGAGAGTCAAAGAGGAGTTGGCTGCTAAGGGAATCCGCTGACTAAAGCATTGAAATTGATTCCTTATTGTTAAACTGTGTTTCACTGAATTGAAAACCAAAAACGAGACTGTAGAATTAAGTACACAAGTAACATCCAAATTTACGTTTTTTGTCGTTTTCATTGTAGTTGTGAGTACAATCAATAGATTTGAGAACTTATGATAGGGTAAGATAGATTACGCTCGTAAATTCGAGCGTTATAGTTTCGATCGTAACCCCTGAAACATGGCATTATGTCCAGAATTATGTTCACGGTTTTGAGTTAATTTCTATTAATTGCTCATATGTATTAAGAGCGTTTAAGAGCCGTTCCCTTCCTCTCCTTTCCTGCCACCGCGAAGTAAAACTTATAAGGGATCAAAGGCTTTGCACTTTAAAACGAATTGGGCAGTGCATTTTCGCGAAGCCATTAGATATAGAGTGTTTATTGATTTTTCTAGATGTAATCAATTACTATCCGTGTGAATTGTGGTTTATTATATCTCTCAGTTAGTGAGTACAAGTGCTATTGTCATGTCTCATTACATATAGGTACGGTTGCGAATGCACGTTAGGCCTTTTGCCAATTGCTTGACTCCATATTGAAATTAAACTTGTTGTGTTATTGAACTGTACTCTTCAGTTTCGACTACTCGAAACCCTTGAACAGTCAATTAGGCGGACAGTGTTTCACTTTACGGCTCACTAATTCAATAGTTTGAGTGAGTCAAAATCTTGCTCCTCTATTTGAAAGAAAAAACTGGGTCCATAACTTAAAGCACGGCCTCGAACTCGTGTAATAACAGGTAAATATATATTCTTACGGTGTAGCTTTGGCCATGAAAAGATATAATTCTTGAGAATTTTATAAGTCGAAAATTGCTTAAAACTTTTTCATCCTCCCCTTGCGCTTGCCTTATCCCTTGTAACTTTTTTCATAATGCATAGATTATCATACAGTGCTCGATACTAACGAAGCGAATAATTGGAGGAAGTTTTGATGCGCATCAAAATTTACTATGTGAGAAGGAGACTGATGGAGTCATGGAGAACTGTAATTGAAGTTGCAACTTAGTGCCTAACTGAGCCGTGCCGAAGGAAAATTTACATAATACGCGGTAAACTTAAAAACTCTAAAGATCAGCTGTTGCGTAGCAACGCTTTGTTTCTGCCATGAAGATTTCGTTAGGAGTATTTTGTAGTTTAGTTTTACTAATGGGTTTATCGTTCATGAAAGTTTTTGTGCTTGGCGTGGCGAAAACGACAACATTGACTATTCTATTTCATGGCGCGTGTTATCATCTAACTCTCCCTACAACAGCTCCAGTAAAAGATGCAACCTCTGCCTAAATATATAATTTACCGGAAGTCTAACGAACTCGATTTTCGCGCCGAACAAACAAAGTTGCTCAATACGTTTTAAAGCAAGAGCAGAATAAAATATTATGAGAGATAGAAAAATTCTTTCATTAAACCCCTGAAGCAACGAAACAGGCATATCCCGACAAGCCTGTTTCGTGAAACGCTTCTGCTCTTCAACGTTTAATCTTAATATATATATATATATATATATATATATATATAAATAAATCTTGATTATGGTCTATCCTTGCGGTAGAGTGCTCGATGCGTTCGCAGAGCGTGATATATCTGAAAGTTGGACAAATCAATAAGACTGATTTCACGCTTACGCGATCATCAGACATATTAAATATATATACCAATATGTATACTGTAGTTAATTAGTAAGTCTATTGTACTCTGGTGGCGATGTTCACTAGGGAGTATGTGTTCTCATGACGGCGTTTAGAAATTAATTCAGTTTTTTTGTTAAGGTTGCTTGCTTTGTCGGCTTTAATAAAGTAGAGTTTTTCAGTTAGGCAGAGGTTACATCGTTTGGAAATATTGTTTTAGACGCTTGCTGAAGAGATGATAGACCAGTTTATTTTGTAGTTTTCATTGTTGTCCTTGATTTTCCAGATGTGTTTTACTAGTTCGGTGCGGTTGACGTATTTTGTTATGGAATGATGGTAAATGTTGCGTATATCGTTGTTTGAATGTTCCTTCAGTTAGTCCGATGTAGTTCTTTCCTGTGTCGTCTTTGTCTGTGGTCACGTTGGCTTTGTAATAATAATAATAATAATAATAACTTTATTTATATAGCGTCTATATCACTAATTGCCCTAGGCGCTTAACAATATCACAAAATGTATTAAAGAACACTAAAAAATCTAACAACTACATATATAAGCATGGAAATTAAATAGAAATATATGTACAAATCAAAAAAGGCTTGGCGAATTAAATATGTCTTTAAGTGTTTTTTTGAAAGAATTCAAGGAATCGGCATTTCTAAAGATGCGGGTATGCCGTTCCATAATTTAGGTCCTGCAATAGAAAATCTTCGATCATCATTAGACTTAAGCTTAGATCTTGGGACTTGAAGTAACTTATTCGAACAAGAACGCAAAGAGTAGGAGCTGGTACAAAAGCTGAGCAAATTGGATATATAACTTGGTGAAAGTCCATTGATAGCCTTATATACTAACAATAAGATTTTATAAGTAATACAGTATTCAACAAGCAACCAATGTAAATCTATTAAAATGGGAGTTATATGTTCATACTTCTTACTACCATAACATTGAGACAGCCTATCTAGTAGTATTTCATGAGACACAGTGTCAAATGCAGCAGATAAATCTAACATAAGTAGTACAACGGCTTCGTTTCTGTCAATTGCATGCAGAACATTATCTTGCACCTTCACCATGACAGTTTCAGTAGAATGATGAACTTTATGGGCTGACTGAAAGTTTTCAAGTAGGTTATTGTTTATCAGATAGTTGGTTAACTGGAGAGCAACACTTTTCTCAATAATCTTTGGTAGCGCTTTCAAATTGGAGATAGGTCTAAAGTTCTTGAATTGTGAAAAGTCTGCATCAGGTTTCTTGAGCAGGGGTGACAATACTGCAGATTTCAAACACGTAGGCATGCAGCCATCACGAAGAGAGAGGTTGATGATGTTAACAATAGTAGGCAGCAATAGATCTATACATTGTTTGATAATAGAGGATGGTAATGGATCCAAAACACAGGACTTCGAGAACAGTGTTGCAGTTAGTTCCCTGATGTCATCCAGCTTCATCTCGGTAAAAGTTGAAAATTTAGTCGAAGACATTGTGAGTACCTCATCAGTGACACAATCAGCAGAGTAAATTAGAACTTTCTTTTTAACAAGGAGATCATTATGTAGTGTAGCAAATTCATCAGCAAGCATACGGTCGTTTTTGGAGGGTGGATAGTAGTTAACAGTTGGCTTTTGAAGTAGCTTTTGAACAGTTTTGAACAAAACTTTTTGATTACCAGAGTTTTCTTTAATAATAGACGAATAGTACTCCGACTTAAGAGACTTAATCAGATTGATCACGTTACGTTGGCGTATATAACGTACGCGGTCAGCAGGGAGTCTTGATGCTCGCCATTTACATTCAAGTTGTCTTCGTTTCCACTTCTCAGCAGTGACTTCAACTGTGTACCAGGGCGCAGATGGACGGACAGTGACAACTCGTTCTTTCACAGGAGCATGCTTGTCCAGTAGTGATCGTAAGACTCCATCATAATTATTCACAACTACATGGAGATCATCTTGATGCTAAAGAAGAACAGAACTTTCAATATCATTTCGGAAAGAATTCATATCAATACGGCGTAGATTTCGAGAAGATACAACCTGCCTGGTGAGGCAGTTGTTGTTTAGCGGGCATCAGTCTTTTTTTTTTGTCCTTGTTGGTAAGGATTTTCTTGTGGTTGTTGATGATGCTGCCCATGTTCGGCATGCAGCTGTAGCTGACTTTTACGTTGTTCTTGTTAAAGACGGGGTGCAGATTGTGGTTTAGTGGGAAGTGTTTATTGATTAGGATGAAGAAGGTTTTAGCTACGTTGGCTTGGACATTTTTGCTGTATGGGGGGGGGATAAATCAGATGATGTTTCGTTTTCTATTTCTATTTCTTTTCACTACTACGAGAAAAACGCAACCACACCCACGCAAAGCCGCTTCTACCTTCCCATTTCTTAGCGGGTAAGTTGGCCACCCGTTATGTGCATAAAGTTCCCCAGGCGGCTGAATTCCTTATTCAGTCGAGGTAGACTGAGAACTGTTGTTTGATACGCGTCTCCGGGATTCCATGCCTTGCAAAGTGCGACTTTAACTTCTGTACTACCGCCCCCGAAATAGTATGTCAAGGGGATTGACTACCCAGAACGAAGAATAATAATCAACACAAATGAGATAGTTCCGTCCCCTGTAAGTGAACAAGTCAACCTAGACTTTCGCCCGTGGCCGGTCGGGCACTTCACGAGGAAAGAGTCTCCTTAGGCTGCTTCTGGTCAAACGCCCAGCAGACATCACACATTTCGATAACTGCTTGATTTCACCACTTATTCCTGACCAGTATATGCTTTCTCTAGCTAACGAAAGGATGCTTACAACCCCACTATGAGCATGATGACGCTCAACTCATCACGAACGTCAAAAAAAGGCAACACCAGATGAGACAACTCCCATTTAGTTTCAGGCCAACTAGCCTTGATGACTTTAATCAACTATAGAAGGTTGCTATCCTTCTGCTTGTGGTCTTCTTGTAGGGTACTCGGCTTCAAACGGATGTGCTGCGTCATGTTGACGTCCAAACCGTAAACTCTGCGTCGGTTAGCGCACGGGTAGCATGGGAAATATGCTGACCCTTCTGAGGCAGAATCTTCCGCATTAAGAAGTGGAAATTTTTGTTGTGATCTGTCAGTGCTTCTTTCACTGTTGACCCCACGCCAAAAATCAAGATATCATCATGAATGGCTAATACGCCCGTCAGGTCGTCAAGTCCGTGGTTAAGCCTTCGCTGAAACTCCTCCGGGGCCGAAAAAAGACTGAAGGGCATGCGACGCCAAAAAAATCTTCCAAAGGGAGAATTGAACGCTAAGTGTGAACTGTCATCGTCAAGTTCAACATGCCAGAAACCGTTCTTCGCGTCTACAACGGAAAACACTTTAGCCCTGGCAAGCTCTGGGAGAATATCTTCATGTGTTGGGTTTAGGTAGTGGCTCCTCCTACGAACTTTGTCGAGGTCCTTTGGGTCAATGCAAACACGGATCTTTCCTTTAGGTTCTTGTATGATAACGAAGCTCGAAAACCAAGAGATAGGTTCTGTGACTCTTTCTACGATCCCAAGACTCTGCAACCATTCCAACTCTTTTTTCAGCTTTCCCTTGCGCGTGACAGGTATTTGCCTAAGAGGATAGACTACTGGCTCAGCAACCTCTTCGATTTCCAGCTAATACTTGCCCTTCAAGTTTCCAATGTCTTGAAACACATCGGGGTACTCCTTTAAGACTTCTTCCGTTGAAAGGGGTCACTGACTACTGCACTGAACCCTAGTATTGACGGCCATAACATGTTGGTGTTGGACCCTGACCAAATCCATCTACTGCATCGTTGGATTTCCTAAAATCGGCGTCGACTGGTCTCGTCCACAAATACAAACTCGATCTGATACGTTATGGAATTCTTGGGGTTAGATACTGCTACAGTGCACGTTCCGAGAGGTTTCATGATTGTTTTGCTGAACATTGGGAGTAATTTCCGCGTGGGAAACAGTTCGGCTTCAGTTCTAAGAAACTTTGCGTGAATCAAATTGCATGTCGCGCCACTATCCAGTTGAAACTAGGCCGGTGTATTTCCAACGTTAATTGTAGCGAACAACTTTTTAGCATATTCCCAAATCACTAGCTACATGAATCCTAACTGCTTCCCTTTCATTCACCGAGCGAAGCATGAGGCAGTATTCATCAAACTCGCTTTCACTATCTGATTCGACGACGTTTACTCTCGTTTTAGTAAAGCATCGATATGCGAAATGATTCATTTTTTTCGCCAACCAAGCACTTCTTCCCGAACGCTGAGCAACTTTTCGTGGCAGCCCGATGTTTCCCGCCACAGAATTTGCATCTCAGTACTTCTCTATGAGTGGAATCTTTCACTTCCCGATCATCATTTTCGCGCCTTTTGTTAGCAGAATTGTCATGCCTTTTGTTAGGCGAAACTTTGCCGCGCTTCGTTTGCTCCTTCAATGAGTTTACCGCCACGCCCTCTTCCAAAGTTTTTGTCCGTGTTTCCGAGAACTTGGCTTCTCTACAAACGCTGAGGTATCTTTGTAAATCAAAATCTGGGATCTTAGGCAGTTCTTCTCAAAGCTGCTGGTCCTGAATTCTACAAATGATCCGGTCTCTCAATTTCGGTCTCCAACGAATCTTTTAGGATCACCGAAGTTACAGGTCGTCGCTAACAGCTTAAAATCTGCAATGAACTTTTATTGTGATTTACCCGAGTCCCGAGTGCGGGCGAAACTTTCAACAGTTTCATTTTTTTCTTGGATTACAACGCCCGTCGAAGGCTGCTAACACCTGCGTTAAAATTCTTTCCGACGCCGGAACTTCGAAGGCCATCGTATCATAAATTTCCCTCCCTTGACTGCCTTTTAGATACAGAAATGATTTTACTTTCATGGCCTCGTTCCTTCCGTTCATTGCCAAATCCATGTACAACTCATTCTTCCATCTTTTCCAACTGTCAGCCAAGTTTGTCGTATCAAAGTCAAGCGGAGCAGATGGTCCGAGCTGTGTAATCCTTTCAGACGCTCCCGCATTTGCACTCGCCTGTTGTCCGTCCGTCGGCATTTTAAGTGTGTTTCGAACAGTTTCGGTCTATCCCGTACTCACCCCTGACACCGTGTTTAGTTACAGAGAAAATTACACACACCAAGTCTTGTGGCAAAATATTTTTTGGGATCACTTTCTGAGGGAGCTTAGAAACCATGTATCAATCGAAAAAAAAAACTTTCTTGGCTCAATCAAGCCACCCTAATAAATGTTTCAAATTTGTTTTTGTATCTGAATCAGTAACACAATTAAATCGATATCTAAATGATAATAAATCATTTAAATCCAATAATAATTTTATCATTTTTCATTTTTCCATCCTTTGACATTAAACAAAAACATCCTGACCTATATATGTAGCTGCTTTGAGGGAAAGGGTGGTAAAGTTTCAAATTTGTTTAAGAGTATGTAACACAATAATAATAATAATGATAATAGTAATAACAATAATAATAATAAAATTCATTTTTCCATCCTTTGCTGCAAACACATCCGACCTAGAGAAATTAGTGTAACTTACCAGAATAGCCTTTTTATCAATGCAAGGCCTATGACCTATGCAAGAGGTATCAGTCAATTTAGGAATTACTAAGTGTAAAATTTCATGTCAATATGGTCCAGAAACTACTCTTTTTTTAGAGGGTGGGGCTGAGTGGGAGGGGTCGAAATCATTAGGTTTGCGTACCGTTTTTACTCTTTGCACCCCGAGCACTCATACACGCACACTTCAGATGGATGCGCAACACAACAGCATCAAAAATAATCAAGCAAATAACTAAGACATGCAGAGCTTCCAGGGATAATCTGAATTTACCGCCATAAATAGTGAAAAGCTTCTTTAAAGGTATAACTTCCTATGACGTTCTAACAAGATTATCAATTTGTCAAATACGTATTTTAATATGATTGATACCAATTGTCTCATAAAGTCGAAATAATCCTAACGTCAAGAATAAATAAGCGGATTACTTCATTAAAGAAAGTACTTGGTTCAATTATGGCAACGAATTAATGTTGTTTGCATGTTTTATGTTCAATTAAATGTTAGTACTTTTGACGGGCTTCAAATTTTTATACGGTTCAATGGGTTCTGAATAGTTTGACACTTTAAAAAGTAACATTGAATACATTTTATACTAATATGTGTCCCCTTATTAGTAATCCTGCAATCCAGCAAGCCCTTCGGAAAAACATGTCACCGTGAGCAGAGCTTGTAAGACACTGTTCAGAAAGCAAGGATTTCCTAGACTTGAAATTCGCTTTGGTTCCATTTGACCGTGTGTAGTGTTTAGAATTAACGTAGAAAGCTTAGTTTAGCCAGAGGCAGAAAATTCGTATATCAACGGAGCGCAGCGAGATAAGGTAATATTCTTTCCCGCGAAAATTACAACAACAAAAAAAGGTAGATAACTTCCCATTTCTTTTTTCCCGCGCAAGTAACAAAAATGTTCCCTTCTCTGTCCCCCTCCAACCGCACTTCAACCAGTTGGGGGAAGACTACTCTCGAAGAACGAATGTGTGCAAGGAACATGAGGACGAATTTAGATTTTTCTGCGAATCATGTCAAATTTGCATTTGTCGTGACTGCGCCATATTAGACCACGACGACCACAGGAATCACAAACAGTGTACGTATGGTTGCAGAACAGTGGATTACATTTATTCGCAAGCATGAAGCAGATGTAACAGAAAAGTTAATGAAGCAAAAAGACGCATTTGAGGCTGAATTTTCAAACCAGATGTGGAGCTTGGATGGAAGAGTGGTGGAAATCGAAAGCAGTCTTAATTTTGGCTTGGAAATTCTCTCTCGTAAGAATCTACCAGAAATTTTAGATGTTGAAGAAATGTTGGAGAACAGGCTGCAGGAGCGCTCTGTACCCTTTAAGCCCACACTAGTCTTCCCTGAAGTTGTTGTTACGACATGTGAATTACACACTCAGTGAAAAGCAACAACTGTATTTTATGTCCAAATAAGGAAAAAAGTAACGTGACAAGTGACGCATTTATCGTAACAGTTGTGTACAGTTCAAATAATTTCAATTGCTTGAAAGACGTACCTGGAAAGCTTATAAGAACAGTTACTGAACCTGCGGCATCCGCTGCTGAAGGTCGTGGTTTGAATGAGGCCGTTGAAGGAGAGGAGAGCACGTTTACTGTGACTACAAATGATATCAAGGGCCAAGTAGTTTATAGCGAAATTGATCAGGTCAATGTTGAAATAATCTCCATCAGCACTTAAGCTGTTTTGACAGCCAGCGTGACTGACTCCAAAAATGGTCGATATCAAGTAAAGTACAGAAGTGAGACAGCAGATGACTTCAAAATATCTGTTACAGTCCGAGGTAAAGCCATCAAGGACAGTCCATTTGGATTACGAATGAAAAAGAGAGACAAAAACACATCACCAGGTATCATCTTTCATGTTCTAAAAATTTCTATGCTTTTCATAAGGAAAGAACAGTATTCATGTATGATTATTGACTATATGAGTCTGAAATATTTGATCAAAGGTTATTTCTTGCAGCTTTTTATGGCTACCAAGGTTGAATAAATTAAGTATTGCCAAAGTTATTTTTTCTCTGAACAACCAAAGTTCCCCTAGATTTCTTCTCAGAATCTACTTTACCTTCTCTTGAACTAATATTATGGTAAAGGTTAATGCAGTGCAATCAGAAAATTCGCACATATTGTTTGTTCGTTCATCGTAATTACAGTCACCAGAAAGTTAAAACAACACGAGAAACCAGCAACATCTAAAAGATCATAACAGTTATGAATTATTGTTTCAGCAACAATGGATCACCCAAAACTTGAACGATGTTATACCACCATGACTTTGAGAGTGTTTAATCAATAATTTTTCTCCTTCTTTTTAGGTCCACAGAGATAACACAACTTTTCGGAAAACGGGAAAGAAATCGAAGCCAAAGACATCTAAAACGACAGGTAAAGGGTATACTATTGATGTGGTTGATCCACTCGCTTCTCGTGGTAAATTTTAAATTTTTGCTAATACGTATATTCTGCCATTTGTACTTTTTTATTTCACATTTTATGCTTGAACATGTGAAAGAATGCCCCTGTCTCTGAGTTAGTCAGGAATCATCGATGAGTGCATGGGCAATTATGTGAGAAATTATCTAAAAATATGATCCTGCCTGAATCTTTTTTTGGGCTTTCAATCATCCATCAGGGGTGGAAACTGATTGACAGGACCCAGATCCTCACTTATAGTGGTTATTCATCCTTCATAATTTAGATTTCTTCACTGAAATGACCCATTTATCTATAATTAAAGTCAACTTCAAATGGATATAAAATCAGTACAAAATAAGAACTGTTAATGTCACTTGAACTCCATTCATTTCTTAGTCAGATTCACCAATTCATTTTCATAACAGTAGTACCTAATATAACTTTGCGTCGTCATAAGGGAATTTATCCATGTTGTTCATTGCAAGAGAGCGTCAGTTGGTAAGTTTTGAATAATGTAACTTTTTAAGTTTATAATTTTGATATTTCGTTTTCAACTAATTTTTCAGTTGCTACTTTTGTGGTCAAAGAGGAGCATTGTCTTAGTCGTGATAGTAATGGTTGTGATGATCGTAATGATGTACCACTATATGTTGCATTGTTGTCCGTGATGGAAATGATTGCAGGAATACCAAACAACCTGTGGGCAAGGTAAAGTAGACATTATTCATGTTTATATCTGAATACAGTTAATTTCATGGGCACTTGTATGAGGAAATCATCCAAAAATATGGTCTTGTATCAATCTTTTTTTGGGCTATTATTCATCCATTAGGGGTGGAAGCTCATTAACTGGACCCAGTTTCCTCATTAAACCACGCACACACATATTTTTTAATTATTTGTAGTAACTCCTTTCAAATTGTTTAGTGCTGTGGAAAATTGCTTCCTTGTAATTAAATTTTCCCTATTAACCCTTTAACTCCCAAGATCTCATCAGTAATTCTCCTTACTGTCTGTGATACAATTCTTATGATGTAAATTGAGAGAATTTGGTATTGGATCAACTAATAATCCCCTAATTGATATTTAACTTTATTCTCATCACTTCTATTCTTGATATTTTATTGACATTGTAAGGAGAAATTCTCTCTTAGTCACTCATGGGAGGTAAAGGGTTTAAAGGTCCTTTTTTGGCAAGGCAACAGAGGATCAACAACCTGCAAGCTTTTGGTGTGACTCAGCTCTCAGACGTTATACGAAAGGCATAGAGATAGGGCTCAGCGGCATGGCTTAGTAAAGAATTCTTCACCATCATGAAATGTTCCAATGGCCCCTTGGCACCTTCCTTAAGCCATATTTAAAGCCTCTCAATTACCAAAAATTATCAGGGTTTATTGACAAAACACTGCACGTTATCTATTATTCTAGTGGTATAACTCCATTGCGTTTTTCTACAGTTTTCAAACCTTGATGTTCATGATTCATGTCTTATCTATTGCCATTATTCATCATTCATAACTAAGCTTCCTTCACTAAAATAACCCACTCATTTATAATTAAACTCAACTTAAAATGGAGATAAAATCTCAGTACAAATTAAGAACTGTGAATAACACTTGAACTCCATTAATTTCTTAGTCACATTCACCAAATCAATTTTCATAACAGTAGTGCCTAATATAACTTTGCATCATCATAATGAAATTTATCCATTTTGTTCAGGTGCAGGAAAGTGTCAGTTAATAAATTTTGAATAATGCAATTTTTCAATGTTATAGTTTTGATATTAAGTTTTCAATTAATTTTTCAGTCGCTATTTCTGAGGTCAGAGTTGAGGATTGTCTTTGCCGTGATGGTGATTATGATGATATTAATACTACTACTAATAATAGCAGTTATGTAAAAGTTACAGAAACTAGTAAACTTGCAGCCCTCTATCTAAAATTGAAATTACAACAACATATTCCGCTAAACGTTAGATCTTTGTCCGAGATGGAAATGATTGAAATAGCAAACACTTAGGGGGCAAGTTAAAATAGCTGTTATTTATGTTTTTATCCAAGTAAAGTGAATCTCGCCTCCCTCCACCCTCCCTCCCCCATCTCAAACCCAGACGACACTTGCTCTCGGGGTGTGAATTAGTGAATTAATTGTACCGGTGTGGTACACATGATTAATTAGACGTTCGGTGAGGAGATCGCTGAGAAATTTCTCCACAAAATAATCTCCGCCGTATATTTTCCAATGTTTGTGGTCATCGCATTTTTCAAGGGACAGGGTGTGCTTTGTCGTTGTCTCGCACGTGCTGCATGGTGTTTCCTCGTCTCATGGAATATGTACATCCGTTCAGAAGCGTTTTAGGTTCGCGGACTGCTGTCCAAATTAACTTCGAAATGCATGAAAGCTTTTCTACCAGTTGGGATTTTAAACCTTCAAATAGTTTATTTGAATTATTTATGTCATTGGTGCAACAACGTTTATTTTTTTCATTGACTAGATTCTGCCTCTGGAGGTGCTACTAAAGATGACAAATGCGTGATTTGGTTGGATGCGGTAGAAAATGCTAAAAAACTATAGTGTGTGCAATTCTTCTGTACGGACTGTGTGGAGACTGCTTTGAGTGATGACAACCGATATCCAGAGTGTAAAGAACCGCAAGGTGTTGTTAAAAGAAATCAACCTGACGGACAAATGCATGTGTATCATAGTCAGCAGCTCTTCCAGGCTATCGCGGTAATTATAAAATGATCACACAAGGATGGGATCCCCCTTAGTGATCTTGGGACGATTGTGGGTTCCATTTACTCTTCCCTCCATCTTTATTTTTACTTTCCCGTAGATGTTTTGAAAATGGTTATTTTCGTCTGAGATAATTATATTCATATTGGTTTTGGTATATCACTGAGCTTTGGATAAAAAATCCGGCAAGGTTCTGTGATGAAATAGTTTTTAACCAGATTTTCTGTTAGACGCTCGTCCAATTAAAATGTCCCAATGTTTGAGTTCTTTTATTACCCACAATAATAATCAAGGGTTTCCTAGCGCTTAAAATGGAGGGAAAGATTCTTCAAACCTGGTATCAGTGAAGAGATGTGGATCATTCCAAGTGGTATGGTAAAGGAAGGACAAACGACAAATTGAAAAAAAAAACGTTCGGGGTTTATGGAAAAATCGTTGGTACTACAAAACTTTCTAGATTTTAAAGTGCACAGATACAAAGATCTTACTTTGGATTCAATATCTCCTCAGTAGCCTTCAAAACGGAGCGGATTAAGGACGGATCATTTTACTAGCGTGTAAAAGGCAAAATGAACCTGCTACCCATTCTGGTAGTTGGACTTTTGTCTGTCGTGGATGGTACAATTCTCTTTGCAGGTTGTGGAACAATTACAATTACCTACAGCTTTCCTTCTGAGATTCAAGGCCGGGAGCATCCACATCCTGACGAAACATACAGTGGTATCAGTCGTACCATATCTTTCTGATAACTGAGAAGGCAAAGAGGTATTGGCTCCTCAGAAATGGCCTCAGAAAAGCGATTCACGATAATTATAAAACTTTGTACTTCAAGAAAAAAAAGCACAGTTGACGTCATAATTTACAGACTCGACACTATACAATAAGGCTTTGAAGGCTTCTTGTGGTAAAAGGTGTGAGTGGCAGGAATTTCCAGTCAAATGCCCTTGTTTCTCCATTTGCCAGTGACTTCCACTGAAATTTGTCCTCCTTACTTTAAAAAGTGAAACACACGTGAACGTATCTGTCACGGCTGTCATGCAAAAGGTCATGACAGCCATTCAACGGATCGTATTACATTTTCGTTGAAATAGCCCGAACTTTTTTCAACCTGGATGCTTCGCCTATGGCGGCCTAAGAAAGAAAAAACAAGGGCCGAGAGATTTACCTCACTTTCCAGTGGGACACTGTTCAAGTTGGATCGGGGGAAAACAGACATGACATCAGTGAAAGGGACATACTTGAACGAGTCACCGAAAAATTAAAGGCACACCTCGAAGCCAAAAAGAACCCAATAATGGCGGCAGTCAAATTCGATAGAAGATGCCAACTGCAAGGGGAAACGTTTGATTCCTTCATCACTGACCTCAAACTCCTGGCCTGAGGGCTAGACATGACCGAGACAAATAAGTTAATTCCAAACGCCATCGCGTGTAAATCGCTAGATGAACGAGTACGACAACATTGCCTGAAAAAAAAGCAAAAATCTTACTCTCGAAACAGCCATCAGCATCGGTTGAATGTTCG